AGTCCTCATTTTCTGCCGATTTTTGGAAGTTTTCCACTGCTTGCTTAATTAATTTGATTGGAACTTCAAGCTTACGCTGCAAACTTTTGTCAAGTTTTATTAGTTCCTTTTCTGCTTCAACAGCACTCTTTACATAAGAAGCAGATTGAGATTTCCAATGTTCACATTGTTCTTTAACCTCCATTGTTTGGATTTCTGCAGCTTTTGTGCGCACTTTTATGCCTTCATGAATCTCATCTATATATGCTGTAATTTCCTCCGTTTTGAAATCCAAATTGCTCTTCCACCTTTCAAGCCCCTCTCCACCACAGGCAGAAACCCTTCAAAACCCTTTCGGCCCGTTTGCAACATTACTTTGATAGACTTAACATCAATATCTACATTAGTCCAGTACATTTTAACACTCTCATCATCTTTCACCTCACTAAGCATCCCGTGCAAGAACGCCATCACCCCGTCGCACAGCCTGTCAAGGTCGGAGTACACGATGCCCTCGCCGGTGTAGCCTTTGGAAGTTTCTTGGTAACCAAGGAACTTCTCCAGGCCGGAGCACAAATTTGTTAAAAGCTTTTTAGTATTATCTTCTTTAGTATCAATTTTCTCAGCATATCCACAAAGCTCTTTCAGTGTCTCAAGAGACCTCTTGGAAGCATTATGAGACTGCAGATCCTTATTAAGCTTGTCAATTTGAGAGGCATTTTTAGGAGATTGATAGGCATCATTAATATTAAAAAGGAGGTGAAATGGCACATTTTCAGGGCGATTTGGGGGAATTTGGAGGAAGGCGATTTTAGGGTAATGGAGGCAGCGAGGGAGTGAGGGAGGTGCGTGGACAGGGCGAGGGAGGTGAAGGGGCGAAAGAGGGCGATGAAGGGGGAGGATGGGTTGAGGTAAGGCGATTTTGGAGGTCAGAGGAATTTTGTGGAAAATGAGGATTTGGGTGAGGGACGCCGACGGAGGAGGGGAGGGAGGGGGGAGGAGGGAGCGAAGCGACCAGTGAAGGAGGGAGGTGAGTGAGTGAGTGGTTGAGTGGGTGAGTGGGTGAGTGGGTGGGTGAGTGTGTCAGTGGTTGAGTGGGTGGTTGAGTGAGTTGGGTGAGTGAGTGAGTAGGTGAGTGGGTGATTAGGTGGATGAGTGAGTGGGTGGGTGAGTGAGTGATACACAGACCACACGTGAAGGCACGATTATGGTGAGAAGTACTTGACGTTGGCGAGTGCCCTGACGCGTGCGGCGGCGAGGAGGGACTGCGCGGCGATGCGGTGGCTTGAAGGTGACCTCAGGTGGGAGCGTATCCTCAGGACGTCGAGGCGGACGACGGCGATGTGCAGCAGGTACAGGAGCGAGAGCGACCAGAGGGTGAGAAGGGTGTAGGAGAAATTCTCTCTTATTATCCAGATGAACTCATCGATGTCTTTGATAAGCTGGATGAGAACAGATTCCTTGTCAAGCACTTTTTTCAGAGCTTCACAGAAATCTCTACATGTGCGTTGCTTCTCAATTCTACTTTGTCCGCTTAGATTATATGGACTACCAAAGGTGAATCCATACTTATACAGGGTTGGATGCATAATCGGGCATTTGACGATGGACCTGCAGCCTCCATTATGCTTCTTATCTGCGAGTCGCATGGAAGCTTCATCAGAGTCGTAAGTGGAATTTACTTTACAGCCATCAACACAGCTTCTGTCATGGCATTTGGTGCCTGGTTTATTGCAATTATTGCAACACTCGTCGTACAATTTTTTCAACAAGTCATAGAACGTTTCAGTTATATACACTACCCAGGAAAGATATCGGCTAGCATTATATTTAGAATGTATGTCATAAATATCAATGGTGAAAGGATGTAAGTATTGACCGCAGGGTAGCCCAGGTTTTGACTTTGATGCAGGGTTACAATCTGTAAGACTGAACAAATCTGCTTTGGTATGGTTGAATTTCCCATGTTGATCATATACAGCGGGGTCGAACAAAATCGTCAGATTCAATGCATATGCCTGGCCGAAATATGCTTCTTTGACAGCATTTTCGAATGCCTCCTTCTTGTGCTGCTTAATAGAATTGTCGTTCCATTTATGAAGCAACTGATAGTAGAATGCAAACATACCGCCAAGCGTTTGCGGCGCTACCCTACCTAGGCATTTGAGGTATGAACACAACTTATTGAGGTTTGAACCTGCACTGCAGAAATATTCGAGGACCCCCTTGAGATGCGAGGCTCTCTTCGTCTGCGACGCCGTTACAGTAATATCGCTAAAGCCCATCGGCGTTTTACAAGGGATACCATTATGATTACGAAGGCTACATGTCAGCCTGCAACCAGGAGAGGTAATTGAATGAGGGAGGAAGCCCGGCAACCCATCTTCCAAAAAGGACTGCAACGGTGACTTCAGGCCGCAGTTAACACTTTGGTTGCAGTTTTGGTCACAGCGTTGCCTATGTGTTTGGGTAGCCGCTTGGTCACCTTGTTGGTTAGGGCATTGCCTATCATTGCACAGCCACGCTGATCCGCCTACTCCCTGACCATACCAGCAGTCGGCCCAGCCGCCAAGAGTGGGCCCATTTTTACACTGAATGAGCAGGAAATAAAGTTGCTCATGGACTCTACACAATACGTCTACAAGCATGTCTAAGCAGGCACTAGCACTGGTGGGATATAATAAATTTAGGGAGTTGTTGGAAAAGTCACAGGCATATACACCGTCAGCGTGCCCGTGGCCGAGGAAGGTGATGAGAACATTGCGTGAGTATAAACAAACTTGCTCGAGTGCCTCGCTCAAGTGGCCAGAGTTGAGAGTTCCATTCGTGGGGTGTTTCCTATCGTTTGGTACGACTACATCTAACTGCTTATCATCCTTGTCGAACAAATCATTAAAATGATTATTAATTTTCTCGTACATGTGATTCCACCGGAGGCCAGCAAGCCAGCAAAGCATTTGATAGATGTTGGACGGTGACTTAGGTGACGAAGGAATATAGTAGTGAGGGACGCCGTAATACGTTCGGAAAAGATCGCGAAGTTTGGTAAGTGGGCTGTATTCCTTACCACCGTTTGGATCAAGTACGAAGACTTTTTTCTCTGTCATTGAGCCGCAAAGCAGAGGGAGAATTTTCTTACCCTTGAACATTTCATTATTCCTTAACTCCCCTTCTTCCTTGTCGGACTTGGACACCCTGAATCCACGGTCCCTTAACCAGCGGCCGAGACTCTGATTCAAATTAATTTTGTATTCTCTCCAGTTACCACCACTATTACATTCTCGTCTCAAATCATCCAGATCCTTTTTCATCATCTCCATTAAGGTGACACATATCTTAGCTAACATTTCCATTTCTTTCTCACTTTTTCCAGTCCAATTAATCTGCTCTCCTTTATCATACCTATTAACGTACGCCTTTTTGAGCTCCCCGGTGAATCCTTGCAGCCCTTCCTTGACAGCGTCCAGCAGCTCCGGGTGCCGCGGGTTTGCGAATTGGGAGGGGGCTAGAGAGGCGAGGGAGGAAATTAGGGTGGAGAGGAGCGTGGAGAAGTGGTGGTCGAAGGTGAACGGCCTGGAAGGACTGTCATTCTCTCTTTTCAAATGCTTAAGTAGTTCATTAAATGCATTATTAATTTTGTTAATTTTTTCAAGGTCGGGGTAAAAGTCTCCATACAGGTGATTGTAAACATTTTCAAAGTACTCCTTGAAATGCTCTGCCAACTTCTTAAATTTCTCCTTTTTGTCAATTGAAGACGTAGTGACATCCAATTTCTTGAGCTTATTATTCGTACCATCAACTCCATGATCCATCACCTTGCGCAACAGCCCCTTGACGCCGGAGTTGAGATCTTGGCGGATGGTCTGTTCGATGAGGGAGATGTTGGAGGAGACTTGTTGTTTCATGGAGGTGAAGAGGGGGGAGATTTTGGCGTGGTAGAAATATTTAGCGGCATCTTGGATATTCCTAATTTTTTCGTTTACTTGCTGTTCCACATACTCAGTGAGATTACGAATGATATCGTGACATTGTTTTGTGGCAAACGATTCAAAAGAGGTTGCATCTCTGATGGCCTTTGTCAGATTCACGTCCTGCAGAGTGAAAAGATTCGCACGAATTTTCTTAAGTTGAGTATTCTTATCATTGCCGAGAAGGCTATTCGTTTTGAACTCCTCCAATTTCTTCTTCAGCCCTTCTTCATCTCCCGCGGCGTTTTGAATTGCAGTGCACAGGGCATCAAGTCTGGCGGTGACATGTTCTAACCCTTGTTGAGCATCGCCGTTGAATTTTCCGATTTCTGCCAAAGCACTCTCCACTCCCCTCTGAATATCTCCGATCGCCTGTGGGAGTGAGCCTTCGCCAGCATCTTTGCCGCCGGTGAGAGGATCATCTGCTCCCTTAAGGCTAGATGTATCAACGTGCTGTTTGTAACCGCTAAATCTCTTAGCTGGAAGTGTGACTGTCGGTGCGCCAGTTCCACCAGATCCAGGCGTCCCAATCTTATCGTTCAGCTCCTTTTCAATCGTCCTGTGAATGTTGGCATTGAGATCAATTGTGCCTGAGCCGGCGTAGGGTTTTGTATTACCGTACTCTCCTTCGCCGTATTTGATAAGTGCCTTTGTAAAACCCTTCTCAAGCTCCGTAGCCACTTTGAGCGCGGCGTCCAGATGCTCGCCCACCTCGTTGCTATCGCCATCGATGCCGCTTAGCGATTCAAGCTCTTCAGCAGCTAAATTGGCTCTCCATACAAGGGCGCTGGCGATGCCTTTGATGGCATCAGGGAGAAAACCTTTTGTAGTGTCCTGATGACCGCCTCCTGTCACAACTTTTTCAATCTCATTGGCTATCTTTGAGATGAACGGATCGCTAGAAGTATGAACAGCCCTTCCTTTCTTTATATTAGGTTGAATCCTCGCTGCAAATTCAATAATACAAGTGTGGACAGCGGTGATGTTTTGCTGAATGTTGTCTTGAATCGTGATCTTCGCTTTACTCGCTTCAACGGCTTCATTGATAATACCCTCTTTCAAGGCATCCTTAATGGCTTCGGCGATGGGCCCAGTGTCTCCTGTATAATTTCCATTAACATCCGTTTTCTTGAAGTCATCCCTGATTTTCCCATCGTTAGCGTGATCCTTAACATAATCCCCAAGATAAAACTTAATTTGCCCATTTTCATCCAATATACCCTCCACCCACCCCTTTACCGTCAACTCAAATCCATGCGTTCCTTCTTTAAACAACGCAGCGTACTTATCCACTATTTGCTGTTTAACCCCCTCAAGACCCTTTCCATTTGCTCCTCCTTTCTCCCCCTTTATCTCCTTAACCCTGTTTTGCACAGCCTCAACATACTTTCTCACATACGTATCAAGTCCGGTCTGAAGCGCCGTTCTCACATCATTAAGATCATTCTTTAGCTTTCCGTCCATCATCTTCACCTCCCCAAGCGCCGCAGTAACCTCCCTTTTCACAGCCTCATTCGCCGCGTTTCCAGCATCAAACAATTTAAATGCCTGCTCCCTCAACTTGTAAGCGGCCTCCTGAAGACCCTTCTTATTATTGGTTTCGCTCTCTTTTGGATCATTGACTTCATTCAAAACTTTGTCGACGTCCTTCTGCAATACGTTGTCAATATACTTCCTTGCCTCTTGAATCCAACATTCCAATGCATTTAGGTAATTAGTCAGCGATTTACTTATTTCTTCGAGATTTGTTTTAATTAAGGACACCCTAGCTGTCATATTGTTTGCAAGCTCAAGCACTCTACCTGCAACTTCCTTATTGACTTTTCGTTCCAACTCTTTCAGCTGCCTCTCCCCCTCCTCGAGTAGCTTCTTCAACTCATCGTTCCGCGCCGCCGCCACAAACTCCCGCACCTGCACTTTTATGTTATTCACGGGGTCCTTCAACTTATCTTTAAGTTTAGGGTCTAGGTTGTTGTAAGCGTTTTCGACGGTGTAATATTGGTCGGAGAGCCATCCCAACTCTATGAACATGTCACCCAAGTGACCTGCCACCTTGTTAAGACCATCAGGACCACTAAGTGCATTAAGTTTGCTAAGTGATGTACCTATATTAGTAATATTCTTAGTATTAAGTATTTTTAGTTCATTGCTAAGTGTCCTAGTTTTGTGAGTGACATCTTGATCCCACGCCCGCAGCGCCGCGGAGACTTGTGCGATGGCCTGCGAAAAACCATGAGAACCATTATGCATCAACTTACTGATTGAAGAAGGAAGATTCTTGATTTTATGTTCAATATCATAAGTTGTAACGCTATCATCATCTTTCACACTCTCAAGAACTCCATGAAGGAAAGACATCACCCCGTCACAGAGCCTGTCAAGGTCCGAGTACACGATGCCAGTGCCGGTGTAATTGCCATCCTTGTAGCCGAGAAATTTTTCGAGGCCTGTGCAGAGGTTATTTAATAATGTTGTTGAAGGATTATTTTAGGCACATTTTCAGGGCGATTTGGGGGAATTTGGGGAAAGCCGATTTTAGGTCAAGGAGGCAGTGAGGCAGTGAGGGAGGTGGGTGGACGAGGCGAGGGAGGTGAAGGGGCGAAAGAGGGCGATAAGGGAGGATGATGGGTTGAGAGGAGGCGATTACGGAGGTGGAGGGAGAATGGTGGAAAATGAGGATTTGGGTGAAGGACGCCGACGGAGGAGGTGAGGGAGGGGGTGAAGGCAGGGAGCGAAGCGACCAGTGAAAGAGGGAGGTGAGTGTGTGAGTGAGTGAGTAGGTGAGTGGGTGAGTGCGTGGTTGAGTGGGTTAGTGAGTGAGTGAGTGATTAGGTGGTTGAGTGGGTGGTTGAGTGGTTGAGTGAGTGAGTAGTTGAGTGGGTGAGTGAGTGGGTGGGTGAGTGAGTGGGTGAGTGAGTGGGTGGTTGAGTGGGTGGTTGAGTGAGAGGGTGAGAGGGTGGTTGAGTGGGTGGTTGAGTGGTTGAGTGGTTGAGTGGGTGGGTGGTTGAGTGGTTGAGTGGTTGAGTGGGTGGGTGGTTGAGTGGTTGAGTGGTTGAGTGAGTGGGTGGTTGAGTGGGTGGTTGAGTGGGTGGTTGAGTGGGTGGTTGAGTGGGTGGTTGAGTGAGAGGGTGAGAGGGTGGTTGAGTGGTTGAGTGGTTGAGTGGTTGAGTGGGTGGGTGGTTGAGTGGTTGAGTGGGTGGGTGGTTGAGTGGTTGAGTGGGTGGTTGAGTGGTTGAGTGGGTGAGTGGGTGGTTGAGTGGTTGAGTGGTTGAGTGGGTGGGTGATTAGGTGAGTTGGTGGGTGAGTGGGTGAGTGATACACAGATCACACGTGAAGGCACGATTATGGTGAGAAGTACTTGACGTTGGCGAGTGCCCTGACGCGTGCGGCGGCGAGGAGGGACTGCGCGGCGATGCGGTGGCTTGAGGGTGATCTCAGGTGGGAGCGTATCCTCAGCACGTCGAGGCGGACGACGGTGATGTGCAGCAGGTAGAGCAAAGAGAGCGACCAGAGGGCGACCAATGTCAGGGAGAATGGTTCTCTGATTTTCCATAAGAAATTGGGAATTGTCTCGTAAATTAATTTCGCTAGCGCTGCGCGGTCTTCTTTCTTTTTACTCAGCACTCTGTCCAGTGCCTGGCATAGGTCTCTACACGTGCGCTTAGTCTTCTCTCCACGCTCACCGCTCATTCGCCATGAGCTTCCAAAATAGAAACCATACTTAGACAAGGTTCGCAAGGTATGCGGGCATTTGACGATGGAACTGCAGTCTGAAGTGTGCTTGTCGTCTGTAGATGGAGTAATGGAGTTTCCATCTGTATCAGTATATTTCACTTTACATTTCTCAGCACAGCATTTTTCGTAACACCGCGTACCCTTCCTGTCGCACGTTGCACAGCAGTCGTCATACAATTTTTTCAACAGGTCATAGAACGTTTCACTGAGGTAAACGATCCATGAGAGATATTTACCGGAGTTCTTACTGGAGAACGTGTTCCAAATGTCACGGCAAATTGGCATAAGGTATGGACCGCAGGGAAGGGATGCATCACCGCTGTTGCTTTCGCATTTGACAAGCGAGTGAAGGTCGGCGTTGGGATGCGTCTGTCCAGCGTGGTCACTGCTGCCGAACATGGGACCGATTTCGAGAGTTGTTTTCGGATCCCCAAAGTTCGCACTTTGGACGGCGTTAACGAAGGCATAACGTTTATGGCCGTCGTTAGAATTCCACTTGTCAAGGAAATTAGAGTAAAAGGCGAACAGGTCACCAAGGGTCTGCGGCGTGCGTTGTGACATACATGTTAGATAACTGCAGAGTTGTGTAAGTGGTTTGTCTGGCTTGCCACAAAATTCGTACAACACCTCCTCCAGATACTTGCCCGCCTGCCTGTGAGAGGCCATCGCACTGAGATCTGGGATACCCATTGGTGTAATACACGGCTGACCTCTGTGATCACCAAGTGAACATGCCACTCCACAGCCTAATTTTGTAAGCTGATGTGGGAGGAAGCCTACTAGGCCGTCCTCTAGGAAAGACTGTAACGGCGATTTAATACCGCAGTCACTATGTTGCTTGCACTTTTGGTCACACGTTTGGTTGTGCTTTTGGTTACCTTTTTGGTCAGCGTTTTGGTCACCTGTTTGGTTGGGGCATTGTAGAGTATTACAACTCCACGATGAGCCGGCAATTCCCTGACCATACCAACACTTATTCCACCCACTACAAAACTGACCATGCTTACACTGTTGGTATAGGAAAATAAGCTGCTGATACAATCTATATAATACGTCTGCAAGAATAGCCAAGCACTGTGATGGAGAAGACGGATACGACAAATTGAGTGAGTTGCTTGGGAATTCGCAAGCGTAAACGCCGTTGGCGTGACCGTTGCCAAGGATGCCTACCAGCAGGGAATAAGATCGGGAACATACATCGTTAAGCGCAGTGACCAAGTGGCTAGGATGTATTGTCTTAGTGCCGACTAAGCTGAGTGAGCTATTTTCAATTTGGTCATATGGCACATCTTTTTGGTCCTTGGGTTTCTGGAACAGCTCCTTGAAGTAAGAGCACAGTGGTTCAAAAATGGAGTTGAACTGCAGGCCGGCACACCATGCCAGCATCTCGTAAATGGAACATGGTGACCTGGGTTTGTCGATGTGAGTGAGGTGACAAACGCTGAAGTATTTTACAAGGCAGCCATGCAGTTTCTGTAACAAACCATTCTGCTCCTCGTGTTCGATGGCCAGACCATCGATGATTTGGACAGATTTGTTGGTATTGATAAACTTGTGCGTAATGGTCTTGGTCAGGAGATCATGAATCTGCTCACCACAAAAGTCTTCCTTGTTTTTCAACTCCTCATTGCTCATGTCTTCACTCTTCGGAACTCCGTAGCCGGCAGTTTTAAAGAAAGCGCCAAGTGCATTACTATTATTATGTAGATGTATGCTGAGAGTATACCAATCACCGGCAATGCTAGTGTTCTTCAGCAACACCTCAAATTCTGACAAAAGGATGGGAACTGTGGTCAAGGCTATTTTCGCGCATCTCATTGCGCTTTCGGTCAGCACGAAGTCATCGTCTTTAACCTCTTGCCACTTAATACTTTGAGTATCATACATGTTAATGTAGGCATATTTCAGCTGCTTGGCAAAGTCATTCATGCCGGTTCTTACAATGTTAAGTAGGTCCGGGTGCTGGCCTTCACCGAATTTAACAGCACCAAACTCGTTTACGGCATCTATAAGTGAGGCTAAATTAGTCGCAAAGTTGTGGTTGAAATTATAGTTCCTGGTTGAATTGTTGGTGAGATGGCGAAGCAAAGCGCTCAGTTTACTGCTGATGTTCCTAACCTTAGTGACGTAAGGGTCTGAAGGCTGAGACTGCAGCGTACGTAAACCTTTGGAATTCTTTGGCATTATTTCGTCATCGACATATTCGAACAATGGATCGAAAAAGCCAAAAGCCTTTTCGGCTAGCTCAGGTAATTTCATACCATCACTGAGAGAAGACCTCTCAAATTGACTTCCAAGTAACCTATTCATTTCCTTGAAAAATCCCTTCACCCCCGTCGCCTTATCCTCCCTGATTATGTCATTAATCGCCTCCAACTGCGTCTCGATGACGTTCTGCAGCTGCGTGAGCTCGGCCTGCTTCTGCTTCGCGAAGAGGGATTGGACTTGGTGGGTGAGGGTGGAGAAGGATGATTCTACCTGTTTTAGGAGGGTGGATTGTAAGTCTTCAAGGCCGGATTTTGCAGCGGTACGTGCTGTGCTAGCAGTTTGTTCAACACGGTTTATGGCTTCTCTTATTTTACTTGCGGCATTATTCACGCTGTCCTCGATGTCGTCGATTTTATCTTTTACATTTTCAATCTGTTGCCTAAGCAGCTGAAGAAGTTGTGACGTTTGCTCATTCTTGTTATCAACGTCGGTGGGCATGTTTTCCAATTTGTTTATTATAATGTTGACATCTTTCATAGTTTTGTTGTACGCATCAAGTTTAGAAAAATAATCTCCAAGTGTCTCTACATCTATTACATCATTTTGCTTCTTATCAAAATACTTATCGATAGCTTGTCTGATTGGATGCCAGTTTCTGTTAACCTTTAATAATTTGTGGTTTCTAAAATTTTCCATGTGAGTATCAAACGTCGAACCGGGATCCTTATTCTCAATCTTATCCAACGCATCTTTTACTGCATCGTTAATATCCGATGTCATTGTATCGACGAATGTTTTGGGGACGTTAGTTGCCGAGCTGGTAGATGTGAATTTCCCTAGTATGGTTTTGAAACCGTGATTGAGCTCCTCTAAATCCATTGAGTTTTGAGCAGCTCCGAGCTCAGAATTCTCATACTGTAGCGTTTTTTGCTGAGCAGCTTCCGCTAACCTCTTCAACGCTTTAAGCTTCAGCTTACTCAAATCGCCACTTGCCTCAGCAACTTGCGACATTATTTTAACGTCTTCATTCAACCTCTTGGAAAACGTTTCGATCGCATTCTTAACTGTCGTGTCCCTGAGCTTCTTCAAGTCCTCTTTAATCTTTTCTTTCAGATCGTCAACTGTAGTTCTCGTTGAATCAACCGCCGAGTTAACTTCCCTCTTAATCGTTTTCAACACATTTTGATATATCTCCTCCAACTCTCCAACCTTAGACCTCAGATCGGCGACATGCTTCTTGAGCTTGGACGCCTTTCCTGTTCCACCAAAGGATGTGTCTATATTAACATCTTTCAGTGACTCTTTAATCTCCGTGAATTTCCCAGTAATTAAATCACTGTAGTCATTGTCAAAATTCTGAAGCAACTCGTCGGCCGTTCTCCTCGCCTCACTCACACCATCCACAATTGACGTCATCTTCTCAGTCAATTTCTTATTTTTCAAAGTCGCCAATTCACTCCCAATCTTGTCAAACTCGACGCTGAACTTATGTTGCAAGCCTGAGACGCCCGTAGTAATAGCATGATTAACTTGCTGTCTGTGATGGTCAAGTTCACTATCGACACGGCTCGCTTGGTCCCTCACTTCCTGCTTCTCTGCAACCTCCTTGAAACTCTTCACAACCTGCAACACCGATTTCACGTTACATTCCAACTTACCTTTAAGCGTGCCGTCCAACTCGTTCCTTGCAGCCTCGGCTGCTTCGGCCTTCAGCAAATAGTATTGCGCCTGCGGCTTAATCTTATCTATCTGCTCAGCTAATTTACTATTATGCATATTATTAAATTCAGTGTTTAGTCTGCTAATTGTGCCGCTAAGTGAAGTTAATTGTGATGTAACTCCATCCGTTCTTGTAGATAAAACACTCTCATACTCCCGCAGCCCACGCTGCACAATCCCAATGGCCTGCGCAAATCCTGTAACACCAAGGCCCTTACCTATTTTACTCTCTAAATCTCTTATAGTGTCAATAATCTGAGGATAATAGTGATGTAAAAGCGTTTTACTGCCTTGAAGACATTGGAGGATAAACGCCATCACCCCGTCGCACAGCCTGTCGAGGTCCGAGTACACGATGCCAGTGCCGTCGTAGCCTTTGGAATCTTTGTCGAAGCCGAGGAAGGTTTCTAAGCCTTCAGTGAGATTTGTTAAAAGGTTTTTACAATTATCATGTTCAGTGAATTTGGCAAGACTTTCTTTAAGATTTTCAAGAGACTTCTTGCGCTCATCAATATCATCTAAGGCTTTTCCCCTGGCGTCCTCAGTAAGGTAATGAACGTCATTGTAATGGTTAGTATAATTGGATTAAAGGTGGATTAAGGGAGGGTTAAAAGAGGTAAAAAGGGATTATTAGGCACATTTTTAGGGTGATTTGAGGGTATTTGGGGAAGGGCGATTTTAGGTCAAGGAGGCAGCGGGGCAGCGAGGGAGGTGGGTGGACAGGGTGAGGGAGGTGAAGGGGCGCAAGAGGGCAATGAAGGAGGAAGATGGGTTGAGGTAAGGCGGTTTTGGAGGTGGAGGGGAAAGGTGGAAAATGAGGTTTTGGGTGAAGGACGCCGACGGAGGAGGTGAGGGAGGGGTGATGGAGAGGGAGCGAAGCGACCAGTGAAGGAGGTGGGTGGTTGAGTGGGTGAGTGAGTGAGTGAGTATGTGGGTGAGTATGTGACTGAGTGAGTGAGTGGGTGAGTATGTGGGTGGGTGAGTATGTGATTAGGTGAGTGAGTGGGTGGTGGTTGAGTGGTTGAGTGGGTGGGTGAGTGAGTGGGTGAGTGGGTGGTTGAGTGAGTGGGTGGGTGGGTGAGTGATACACAGATCACACGTGAAGGCACGATTATGGTGAGAAGTACTTGACGTTGGCGAGTGCCTTGACGCGTGCGGCGGCGAGCAGCGACTGCGCGGCGATGCGGTGGCTTGAGGGTGATCTCAGGTGGGAGCGTATCCTCAGGACGTCGAGGCGGACGACGGTGATGTGCAGCAGGTAGAGCAAAGAGAGGGACCAGAGGGCTAATAAGAGGTAGGAGAAGGGTGTACGAATGATCCATAGGAATTCGTCACATTCTTGGAATAGGTCCCTGAAATATTGTGAATCAAGCACTCTACTTAGTTGCTTTTGGAAACTGTAACATGTTCTTCGTGTATGAACTGTATTCAATTTTTTAGCATCATTAAAACAGAATCCATATTGATACAAGGTGGGAGCTACACCGCTACATTTGACTATGGAATGACAATTGCAATTGTTGTCTACACCATGCTTCCCAGTTTTACATCTGTCGCCACGCTTACATCCGTGGCATCCCCAATCTGCACAGTGTATATCTGTGAATGCGCGCAACAGGTCTTTAAGATATTCATAGAGCACCCACGGGAGGTAAAGCGCCCATGAGAGATATGCATCAGCATATTTTCCCGCAATATAGTGATACGAATCACAGTAGAGTGAGAAGAGGTAGGGAGCACAATAAACGTCTTCGTGAGCAAGCATACACGGCTTTTTAATCGACAGACTTGACAAGTCCGATGTGTTAAACTCACGATGTCTTGTACCGTGATGAGTCTCCTTGCTGTTATACGCATTACGGAGTGCGCTGGTCAGCTCTGGAGGATTCTCGTAAAGGCTAATGGACGCGCTTTTAATAGAGCTCTCGAAGGCCTTTTGGACACTTGTCTTGTCGTAATTAGATGCACCATGCCAATCGCTAACCAATCCAAGGACAAAGCTAAAATGTTCCGGCAAAGAAGACGGGGCCTTCGGAACGAGACAGAACAGGGCTGCTAAATAGCCATTGGCTAATATTTTGTTTATAATCTCACAGAGCTCTTTACCCGTCTTTGTGGAGCCTGAGAACGCTCTGAAACCAAGAGGCGTCATGCAAGGCATACCCTTTTTGGATGTCGAAGGACACGTGCTACAAGTAGTCCTGCAACCAATGGAACTAAGGTGGTGCGGCAGATGCCCTGGTAGGCAATCGTTTAGATAGGACTGCAGGGGGGACGCTGGTCGGCACGTTGACTGGCATTTTGGTTGGTTGCTTGGGTGGTCGTTACATTGCCAGTTTGATGGATAGATACCATTGCCGTATATGCAGTCAGCCCAGCCGAAATCTCTGGCACTGTATTTGCATTGTATTTGTAGGAATTTCAGTGGAGGGAAGAGTCGGCGAAGCAAGTCAACGAGAGTATCAAAACACGCAGCAGGACTGGATGAATACTGTAATTGAAGTGCGTTACTGGAGAAGTCACAGCCATATGTGGTTAGGGCATCACCATGACCGGCAATGGTGCAGATGAGATTCTGACAGCGGGATGCTAGGTGTTTAAGTGCATCATGTACGTTGTTATTGGTAAACTGGAATGGATATGCTTCAACTGGTTTAACGATTTTCTTAGATGGGTCATTCTTATCTGGTACTTTAAACATATTTGTAATGTGATCTTTAAGTTGGTTATAGATGTGATTATGTGGGAGGCCGGTGAGCCAACTGAGCATCTGATAGACGTTACAAGGATGTTTTTTGGCTGATAAAGTGGCATGATGGCTAACTTGATTATATTGATTTAGGTGTTCGACAAGAATATCTAAAGAGCGTTTGGCCTCCCTGTCGGAGTGGTAAACGTGATCACGGTCGCCCACAAGACATTTGTGAATATTTCTGCCGTCCATTTTACTCTTGTCCTGCAGCTCCCAGTGTTGTTTGCCGTCTTCGGAGACATTGAAGCCTTGACTGAAAAAGAATTCCCCAAGCTCGTTGGATTTCTTAATTTGCTTGAATTTACCTGATGAGAGACATAGTTTTCTCAACTTGCTTAAATTTGTTTTCAATGTGGACAACAACGTGAGCAACACCTTAGCGCACTTCTCTCTATCAGGCTCGCCAATGTCTGCCCACTTCAGTCCGCTGTACCTGTTCACGTACTGTTTGCCCAGTTCCTCCGCCAGTCGCTTCGCTCCCGCGGCTAGCGCGTCGAGCAGCTCAGGGTGCTGGTGGCCGTTGAACTGCTTGGGGGTTAGTGCGGCTAGGTCACCAGTAAACGTGTGGTCGAAGTGATATTGTTTGTTGTCTAATTTTAGGTTAGTGAGTAAGTTGTCCAGTTGCTGTTTGAGGTGGCCGACTTGGGGGGAGCGGGACTGGGAGGAGTGAGGGGAGTGGACTTGGGAAGAGACATACTCTAATATGGGATCTAAATAATTCTTAGATGCTTCAGATAATTCTTTGAATTTGGTTCCCTCATCTTTGTCTGGTGAATTTACGGCAGTATTAAGTTTGGTGAGTAATGTGGACTCCTGAGATGGAACAAGCGGAGGGGCTTGAGAAGTTGGAATATTGCCGCCGTAAATTTTCGGCATAAGGCCTTTGAGGCCTGTGATTTTGTCCTTTGCGATGATCTCAGTAATTATTTCATATTGCGCGTTGACAATTTTTTGCAACGCTTCAACTTCTCTATTCTTCGTCGCGGAGTATCGCCGCTTAGCCTCGTCTAGTACAGAGTGGAAGGCATCAGTCATTTTCTTTTTGACGTCACGATGTAATTGATTCATGGCATATTCAACACCCGCAGGGATGTCTTTGAAAAGCTTATCGGTATCGTTGATACACTCTTTCAATTCGTTTTCTACTAATCCCACTTTTTTCTTCGCCTCAGCAAGCTTTGTACCGAAAGCTTTTATATCATCCTTCAGTTTCGTCAATGCAGCGAAAACAGTCTTTTTCTCATCGCCATCCTTATCGTTCATTTTACCAGCGTTAATCAAAGTCATGTTGATCTTAGTTTCAAGCTCTGTCGCCTTTTCGTGCAGATCAGAGGCACTGTTGTCTCCTTCTACGTTGTTTTTAGTTTGAAGTTTTTCAAGTTCCATTTTGATTTTTGTGAGCGTTGTTTCAGCACCTTTGGCGGGATCAACAATTACATTAATGGCATCCTGCATCTTCCCGATGGCTTTATCTGCCGTGGCTTTAAGGAGATCTTTGAGTCTATTATTCGCAGCGTCAATGTTTAGTTTAACCCTAGCATCGATTTTGTCGTTAAGGTCAACCGTGTTGCTGAGGGTGGAGGTGGAAGGAGGGGTAGGGGAAGGGATAAGCGCCGTACCAAGCTGAGTGTCAAGCGACTGAATTTCTGATTTTACACCGTCCAGTGATACCTGAATATCTCTGCCAAAACTGTTACCTGTTTTCGTAAAAAATTCCTTGCCGATAAGTTCTACATCACCCATTGCCAGCTCCACATTATCGGCGAGGTTGTAAGCGGGAGCCTTGGAATTCTTGTGGGTAAAATGCCAGAGCACACTGGCAGTCTGCCTGGCGGAAGCGACTAACGCAGTAAGGGTCAGTGTGATGGCCTCAGTGAGGTAGCCTTTATTATAAGATCCATTATGGTTCTGCACCACAATTTTCTCCATCCCTTTCACTATAGTTGAGACAAGGGCAACACTACCCGCCGAACTGAACCCCTCAGCTTCATCCGTCTGCTTAATTTTTGTCTCAATCTGACTGGCAAATACATTGCAACTATTAATTACAGCTGTTATATTTGTCTTCATATCGCCACCGGCAGAGGCTATCTGTGTCTTAACCTGCTTTATAGCTTCTTGAATGTTTTCTACGATCGTCTCCTTAACTTTTGGAATGATGTTTTCCACGGTTTTATACGAATCTCCTAAGTTTATCCTATATAATTCAACATACCTATCTAGCTTCTTCTTCACAATTACATTATGTTGCAAAATCCCTTTTATCCACCCAGGCAGAATGTCACTTTCAAACTTACTTTTAAACGTCCCCGCATACCCCTTCACTCTTTCTCTAATACCGTTGAGGCCTTTATAATCTTCTCCATTACCATTAATTTCTCCAACTAGCCTCGCAACCTCCTCTTTAAGTTTTTCCCAATTATGATCTATACTTTTCCCGCCACCAATTTGTTTGCCTTTATTCCCAACAGCATTTTTAATCAATCCAACCTTTTCTCTGACTAATTTGACATACTCTATAACATAATCCTTCAACTTCTCATTTAACTCCTCTTTAAGTCCAATTATTTTCTGATCCAAATTCAAATGACTTTTAATGCTATCCAAAGTATCATCTTTTATCGCAGTCTTAACAGCCGCGCTAGCCTCCTTAAGATCATTAATGCGTTTCTGCAACTCACCCACCTGACTTCTAAGGATCTCCTTCTCTCGTTGAATCTGACCTTTAAGTTCTTGTGTCTTCGTTTTTATCTCATTAACATTGTTGACAACCTGTACCACATACCTCCATTCTAGCATTTTGGTATCTTCGCTCACCGTGTCGAGAGCATTCTGAATATCTGTCTCGACAAAAGTTTTTAGGTTATTAAATTGACCATCACGCAATTCCTCAAGCTTCCTATGTAATTTTCCGATATGATATTTGAAATATTTTTTGAGATGCTGAATGCTCCCCTGAAATTTCTCTGCGGCATACGTGATAACCTCATTCAAATTCTTCTCCGTCACCTGAAACATGACGTCAAGATCGTTGTTTTCCGCCGTCTTCAGAAAAGTCCTCGTGGCCTGCAACAACAATGAAATATTACATTTTAACTTACCGGAAAGTTGTGGATCGATGTCATTTAACGCTTCATCAGCCCGTTGGGCCCTATCAATATACCACTGAGCACGGTATATCCAGTCGGTAATTTGCTGACTAATGTCATGAACACTTTCAGCATCAATATTATCTTTATGTTGTTTAATGTCATTCTTAAGTACGCTAAGTGGCCCTGTAACATTCTTGATTTTCTCCTCCACCTGCGCACCATGTTTTTTCAACCACTCACTTACCTGAGTCACGGCGACACGGAAGGCCTCACGGCCTTTACCTACACTATCATTTAATTTCTTAATAACATTGTTAATATCATTAATATCACTATATTTTGTAACACTTTCATCATCTCTCACACTCTCAAGAACTCCATGAAGGAAAGACATCACCCCGTCGCAGAGCCTGTCAAGGTCCGAGTACACGATGCCGGAGCCAGTGTAATTACCATTCTCGTAGCCGAGAAAATTTTCGAGGCCTGTGCAAAGGTTATTTAATAATGTTGTTGAAGGATTATTTTAGGCACATTTTCAGGGCGATTTGGGGGAGTTTGGGGAAAGGCGATTTTAGGTGGAGGAGGCAGCGAGGCAGCGAGGGAGGTGGGTGGACAAGGCGAGGGAAGCGAAGGGGCGAAAGAGGGCAATGAGGGAGGAAGATGGGTGGAGGTAAGGCGATTTCGGAGGTGGAGGGAGAAAGTGGAAAATGAGGATTTGGGTGAGGGACGCCGACGGAGGAGGTGATGGAGGGGGTGAAGGCAGGGAGCGAAGCGACCAGTGAAGGAGGGAGGTGAGTGGGTGGGTGAGTGGTTGAGTGAGTGGGTGAGTGGGTGAGTGAGTGAGTGAGTGGGTGAGTTGGTGAGCGGGTGGGTGATTAGGTGGGTGGGTGAGTGAGTGTGTGAGTGGTTGAGTGGTTGAGTGAGTGGGTGGGTGATACATAGATCACACGTGAAGGCACGATTATGTTGAGAAGTACTTGACGTTGGCGAGTGCCTTGACGCGTGCGGCGGCGAGGAGGGACTGGGCGGCGATGCGGTGGCTTGAGGGTGATCTCAGGTGGGAGCGTATCCTCAGGACGTCGAGGCGGACGACGGCGATGTGCAGCAGGTACAGGAGCGAGAGCGACCAGAGGGCTAGCAGTGTCCAGATGAAATTCTTTCTTACTGCTAAAAAGAAATTATCGATTGCCTCGAGGAAGTCCCCCAGCAATTTCGAATTCAATATGCCATCAATTGCCTTGTAGAATGTGCTGCACGTTTTTGTACTTGTGTAGCCGTCCTCCGAATACACAAGCCCATGTTCATATAATACGGGCAATACGCCACGACAATGAGCTATTGATGCACAATCACATGACTCAGTGCCATGTTTGCCAGATTTGCATTTTCCTTCATGGTGACATCCCCTACAACCTGAGTCAGAACAGGAAATATTACTGAATGATTCTTTCAGCTGCTCGAGGAATGTTTGAAGCCTAGGGCACACATATAACAACCACGTCAGATATTTGCCGGCATTTTTGGCAGCAAAGGTGTAATATGCAGTACTATTAAGGGGTTTAATAAAACTACCGCAACCTTTCTGATTGCATCCAACAAGATATTTGATATCGGGGCTATCAATGTTGTGGGAAACATGAGTTGCATTCTCATAAAAAACACGGCAGGGGTTAAGCAGCTTACGTGCATCTGCAGCATCACATGCCACCGTAGCTGTTATTTGCTCGTAGAGAGCGCACTGAATGGGATGCTTTGGTTTGGTATCTAACGGCATCAGGTCCCATGACTGTGCGAATTGGCAGTAGAACGAAAGTACATCAGTCAACGTCTTAGGCGTAAGGCCAACCAGGCATGAAATGCATGAATAAAGGTTGGACATACATCCTTCTCTACCGCACAATTTGCCCAGCACGTTACATAGGTCTTTGCCTGTCCTTTTGCTTCCCGAGAAACTTCTGAAGCCAAGCGGCGTCAAACATGGCATGTTACCTGCGCTCTTACTGCACGTGGAACATACAAGTTTGCCTTTAAAGGATATGAGAGCGTGAGGCAATAAGCCTCTCTGACTATCAGTCAGGTATGAGTGCAGCGGCGAACCGACAGAACAGTCGGCAGTCGATGACAATTTGTCACCCTCTGGACTGCACTGCCAGCCGGATGTCTGAACACCCGTTCCAAAGTCGCAGTCTGCCCAGCCAAACGACGATTTATATAGACGACATCGATTAAGTAGAAATTTAGAAACGGAGTATATTCTACGAAGTACATCAAGAAGCATGTCGAAGCAACTGTTGGCGTTCGATGGGTAATGTAAGCCCAGCTTATTGGCAAAATAGTCACAACCATAGTAGGTTGCAGCGTCGCCGTGGCCGGCGATTCCAACCAACAAATCATAGGCAGGCGTAGATATTGCGGGCAGGTGTACTGCAACCACGTCGTATAACATATTTCTAAGTAAGTCATCCTTTTCGTCTTTAATCATAGCGTTACACTGGTCCATAGTTTTCTGATAAAACACGTTGTACGTAAGGCCGGAACACCATGCCAGCATCTCAAAGACACTGCAAGGGTATCTAGTTGCAGAGAAAGTGGAGAGGTGGCAAGCATAGAAATACCTTTCCAGGTAATCATAAAGTTTGCGAAGAACGTTATTAGATTTCATGGAGGCATGAACGGATTTGAGATAAATATTGAAATTAATGTGGTTGGCACTTGGCGATGCATTGAATTCTCCGTGCTTACTGAAGCCGTTGCCTAATTTGACGGCAACATTATGACCGGTCGTATTTGTTATAAGGTTGTCGATCTTGAAGCCATGACGTTCCAAATGTTTTTGTAATTTATTCTTTTCAGCATCGGTTATTGCACTACCGTCAACTGCAAGGTCTCTATATTTCTTGGCGCAGTTGTAAAACAGCTTATGCAGGTCATTAAAAAGCAGATGAATTGTCGTCAAGCAAACCTTAGACAAATTTCTGCCGTCCGGGGTCAAGACTTGTTCCTTGGGTTTTGCAACCGGAGACTTTTCTGCAGGTATTTTTGCGGGCTCATCTTCTTTGTCCTTCAACAAATTATTGAAGTCAATTGGATGAGGATGTCCCTCGTATACGTTTATGTACGCCTTCCTCATCTGGTCAACAAATTTATTCAGCCCCTTACCAAGACCATCCAGTATCGGCGTATTGGACAGCTCGAAGGATGCTGGTTTCAGCTTAGAAATAGCACCAGAGAGACTATCAACGAGCATAGGGAACGCACAGTCGTACCTTTTCTCGGTGCTGATATGATTAAGCAAGCTTTGAAGTGCGTCAAAAATAATTCGAAGCTTAGTGGTGTACAGATCTTCCTCCCCTGATGGCTTAGGATTCTTCTTGTCATTCTCATCCCTGTGAACCTTCACTATTTCTCCATTAACGTAGTCCTTTACAGGACCCATGAATGTCAAGAAGCTGTAGGCAAAGTCTTGGAGTCTTGTTGCTTCTCCTTGACCTTTAAGAGTTTTCTCAAGGGAGTTATCGAGCGTCTTCATAAACCCCTTGAATCCTATGCGCAGGTCCTCCTCGATCGCGGCGGGCAAAGGGCTCAGCTCCTGCGTGACCTTTTGCGCGAAGGCCTGGAGCATCGCCTTGACGGAGGTGACGTAGTTGCGGCGGGCGCGGGTGGTGAGGGTGGTTTGAGCAATTTTGACTTGTTGGTGTAGAAAGTCTTGGAGTGAGCAGATGGTTGAGTGACGTAACTCGTCGGCTTCGCTGTCGATATAACATTCGGCAGCAGTGATGACTTCTCCCAAATTATCGTTTCGAAGGTTGTTCAGCGTATCTCTGATTTTGGCGAGTTTAGTATCTATGTTTTCGTTCTCGAGTGCTTCTAATTTCCATTTGATTCCATCGGCAAAGCCTGCTATCGCCGTTTGGAGATCGTTGAGGTTTTTGGTGATAACCTTGGAAAACCTATACAACACACCATCGTGCCCCTTTATTTTATCATCCAGTGTATTTCGGAGATAGTCCAGACCCTCATCCCTGATCGCCCCAATCGCCAGTGGAAGTTTACCTTCTTTGGGGTCGGTGCCGGACAGATCTGATTTGTCTGTACCTAGGCAAGAGGTGTCTACGCTAAGAAGGTATTTGCTGAATTTTTTACTGTCGAGTGTGACTTTAGCGTCTGCACCTGGCCCACCACCTGGCGCACTTGACTGTTCATCCTTACCGATTTGCTGACCAAGTCTAATACCAAAGGTACGATCAACTTGACCATTTTCGAGCTTACCATAAAGCACGTCGTACTTCGTCTTGAATTGCTGCATAAGAGGCTGTTTAGCGTCCAGCTTTACACTGCCTCCTGTCTCAGCAATATGCTTCTCCACCCCTGCCGCAATTTTTCATCAGTTTTTCCGGCAAGGTCAATTGCCTTGCCGGAAGTGTATGCAGCGCTGGGATCGACGGGACCATTTCCAGCAACAACCGCCTGGCCAAGCTTATCCTCAAGCGGTTCAACTACCTTTAACGCAGCGTCGAGATTCTCACCGAGCTTGTAGGTGACACTGCTGGAAACATTCCTCTCAGTGAACGATTTGAATTGTTCGGCTACTTTGGTAGCGGTTGACTGGATCGAATGTAAAATTATTTGGACAATTTCATTAAGTGTGCTTTTGGTAGTTTTATGCCGATCCCCTTCCTTCACTACCTTCAATTCGATCGCGTCGACTATCCCCTGAACGAACTTAATTCTACCATTAGAATCAGATGCTTCCTTTTTTATCTTCTCCCCAAGCGTCGTGGCAAAATTTGTGATACACTCCTGGACTGCGGTGATGTAACCTTGGATATTCTCTGTCGCGTCGCCCCGTATTTGTACGCTCACAATTTTGATGCCACCTTCGTTTTTAATAACTTCCTTGATATCTTCTGCGATTTCATCAGTATGGCTTTTACTAATCCTACTTGTGGAGCCCTCAAAGTATTTTTCATTAAACGTAATGTTAAACCTGCTGTTATAGCTGACATAATTGGAAAAATATTCCTTAATCACCTCATTAGTATCCAAAATGTTTTGTATCCATTTCTGCACTGCACCCCAAAAACCCTCATCGCTGCTAAATTGAGCAGCGTAATCCTTCACAATTTTGTCTTTAATACCTTTCAGACCACAATCCTGCGGCTTTCCGTTGCCATTGATGATCTTCGTTACTTCATCCTTTACTGCGGTGACATAATCCTTAACGTACCCCTGCAAATCTGATACAATACTTGTTTTCAAAGTTTTCAATCCACTCTTAACATGCCCCTCCAACTCGGTAATGTTCAAATTCTTGACGTATTTCTGAACGTCCTCCTTTATCCCATCCTTAACCAACTTCAAATCCTTTCTAAGCGCCGCGTCCATTTCTTTTACGGCCTGCAATGCGTCACCGACTAATTTCTCTACATATGTTTCAGCCGCTCTAAACGCCTCGTAGATTTCCTTCGCCTCCTTTATCAAAGCATCGCCGATATAATTAATCTTCACGTAATTGTCCTGCCCAACTTCCCTCTGTATAATTTTATCAATATGCCTTTTGCGTATATTATCAATGTACTTCTTAGCCTCGGTAATCCAATTATTCAACTCGACAAGATAATCTCGCAGCTTGTATTCAATTTCTTCAAGTTTTACTTTAATATTTTTTACCTTGAATTTTAGCGTCTCAACGAGATCCGTCACTTGCTTTTCAATCTGTTCATTTACATTCTTCTCAAGCCATCTCAGCGTATTTCTGATGGTGGAATACGTAGTCACATAGTCATCCCACGCCTTGTCGGAACACCTGTGTAGAACTGCCGACTCATGTGAAATATTATTTTTAGCGTAAATAACATTAATATTACATTTAGTATTAAGGTCTGCTATGTGCCTATGTGCGCTATTCATGTGCGTTACAAATATCTCAGCTTGACGCTTCGACTCCTTAAGTATAATGCTCACGGATTTCAATGCCTTCTCAGCTTGCTCGTCACTGGCACCTTCAACCTGCAAACCATTAGATGTATTTGAATCACTCACCTGTTTTTTAAGCTCTTCCATCTCTTTGTGAAGCTTGATTATAGGAGCAGAGACTTTCTTATTTGAATCCTCCACTTCCCTATTATACTCCCCCACACCCTGCGCCACCCGGTCAATGACAGTCTGAAAACCCTTATGACCTGAACATAATTTACCATTAAAATGACTCAAAACATTATCACGTAATATATTTTTACCAACATTGTAAGGCTGTTTATCGTGGACATCTTTGAGAACGGAATGCAAAAACGCCATCACCCCGTCGCACAGCCTGTCAAGGTCCGAGTACACGATACCCTCGCCGGTGTAATTACCATTACTAAGGCCGAGAAATTTTTCGAGGCCTGTGCAAAGGTTATTTAATAATATTGATGAAGGATTATTTTAGGCACATTTTCAGGGCGAATTGGGGGAATTTGGGGAAAGGCGATTTTAGGTCAAGGAGGCAGTGAGGCAGCGAGGGAGGTGGGTGGACGAGGTGAGGGAGGTGAAGGGGCGAAAGAGGGCGATGAAGGAGGAAGATGGGTTGAGGTAAGGCGGTTTTGGAGGTGGAGGGGAAAGGTGGAAAATGAGGTTTTGGGTGAAGGACGCCGACGGAGGAGGTGAGGGAGGGGTGATGGAGAGGGAGCGAAGCGACCAGTGAAGGAGGTGGGTGGTTGAGTGGGTGAGTGAGTGAGTGAGTATGTGGTTGAGTGAGTGGGTGAGTATGTGAGTGAGTGGGTGGGTGGTTGAGTGGTTGAGTGGTTGAGTGAGTGAGTTGGTGAGTGAGTGAGTGAGTGATGCACAGATCACACGTGAAGGCACGATTATGGTGAGAAGTACTTGACGTTGGCGAGTGCCTTGACGCGTGCGGCGGCGAGCAGCGACTGTGCGGCGATGCGGTGGCTTGAGGGCGATCGCAGGTGGGAGCGTATCCTCAGGACGTCGAGGCGGACGACGGCGATGTGCAGCAGGTACAGGAGCGAGAGCGACCAGAGGGCTAGCAGTGTCCAGATGAAATTCTTTCTTACTGCTAAAAAGAAATTATCGATTGCCTCGAGGAAGTCCCCCAGCAATTTCGAATTCAATATGCCATCAATTGCCTTGTAGAATGTGCTGCACGTTTTTGTACTTGTGTAGCCGTCCTCCGAATACACAAGCCCATGTTCATATAATACGGGCAATACGCCACGACAATGAGCTATTGATGCACAATCACATGACTCAGTGCCATGTTTGCCAGATTTGCATTTTCCTTCATGGTGACATCCCCTACAACCTGAGTCAGAACAGGAAATATTACTGAATGATTCTTTCAGCTGCTCGAGGAATGTTTGAAGCCTAGGGCACACATATAACAACCACGTCAGATATTTGCCGGCATTTTTGGCAGCAAAGGTGTAATATGCAGTACTATTAAGGGGTTTAATAAAACTACCGCAACCTTTCTGATTGCATCCAACAAGATATTTGATATCGGGGCTATCAATGTTGTGGGAAACATGAGTTGCATTCTCATAAAAAACACGGCAGGGGTTAAGCAGCTTACGTGCATCTGCAGCATCACATGCCACCGTAGCTGTTATTTGCTCGTAGAGAGCGCACTGAATGGGATGCTTTGGTTTGGTATCTAACGGCATCAGGTCCCATGACTGTGCGAATTGGCAGTAGAACGAAAGTACATCAGTCAACGTCTTAGGCGTAAGGCCAACCAGGCATGAAATGCATGAATAAAGGTTGGACATACATCCTTCTCTACCGCACAATTTGCCCAGCACGTTACATAGGTCTTTGCCTGTCCTTTTGCTTCCCGAGAAACTTCTGAAGCCAAGCGGCGTCAAACATGGCATGTTACCTGCGCTCTTACTGCACGTGGAACATACAAGTTTGCCTTTAAAGGATATGAGAGCGTGAGGCAATAAGCCTCTCTGACTATCAGTCAGGTATGAGTGCAGCGGCGAACCGACAGAACAGTCGGCAGTCGATGACAATTTGTCACCCTCTGGACTGCACTGCCAGCCGGATGTCTGAACACCCGTTCCAAAGTCGCAGTCTGCCCAGCCAAACGACGATTTATATAGACGACATCGATTAAGTAGAAATTTAGAAACGGAGTATATTCTACGAAGTACATCAAGAAGCATGTCGAAGCAACTGTTGGCGTTCGATGGGTAATGTAAGCCCAGCTTATTGGCAAAATAGTCACAACCATAGTAGGTTGCAGCGTCGCCGTGGCCGGCGATTCCAACCAACAAATCATAGGCAGGCGTAGATATTGCGGGCAGGTGTACTGCAACCACGTCGTATAACATATTTCTAAGTAAGTCATCCTTTTCGTCTTTAATCATAGCGTTACACTGGACCATAGTTTTCTGATAAAACACGTTGTACGTAAGGCCGGAACACCATGCCAGCATCTCAAAGACACTGCAAGGGTATCTAGTTGCAGAGAAAGTGGAGAGGTGGCAAGCATAGAAATACCTTTCCAGGTAATCATAAAGTTTGCGAAGAACGTTATTAGATTTCATGGAGGCATGAACGGATTTGAGATAAATATTGAAATTAATGTGGTTGGCACTTGGCGATGCATTGAATTCTCCGTGCTTACTGAAGCCGTTGCCTAATTTGACGGCAACATTATGACCGGTCGTATTTGTTATAAGGTTGTCGATCTTGAAGCCATGACGTTCCAAATGTTTTTGTAATTTATTCTTTTCAGCATCGGTTATTGCACTACCGTCAACTGCAAGGTCTCTATATTTCTTGGCGCAGTTGTAAAACAGCTTATGCAGGTCATTAAAAAGCAGATGAATTGTCGTCAAGCAAACCTTAGACAAATTTCTGCCGTCCGGGGTCAAGACTTGTTCCTTGGGTTTTGCAACCGGAGACTTTTCTGCAGGTATTTTTGCGGGCTCATCTTCTTTGTCCTTCAACAAATTATTGAAGTCAATTGGATGAGGATGTCCCTCGTATACGTTTATGTACGCCTTCCTCATCTGGTCAACAAATTTATTCAGCCCCTTACCAAGACCATCCAGTATCGGCGTATTGGACAGCTCGAAGGATGCTGGTTTCAGCTTAGAAATAGCACCAGAGAGACTATCAACGAGCATAGGGAACGCACAGTCGTACCTTTTCTCGGTGCTGATATGATTAAGCAAGCTTTGAAGTGCGTCAAAAATAATTCGAAGCTTAGTGGTGTACAGATCTTCCTCCCCTGATGGCTTAGGATTCTTCTTGTCATTCTCATCCCTGTGAACCTTCACTATTTCTCCATTAACGTAGTCCTTTACAGGACCCATGAATGTCAAGAAGCTGTAGGCAAAGTCTTGGAGTCTTGTTGCTTCTCCTTGACCTTTAAGAGTTTTCTCAAGGGAGTTATCGAGCGTCTTCATAAACCCCTTGAATCCTATGCGCAGGTCCTCCTCGATCGCGGCGGGCAAAGGGCTCAGCTCCTGCGTGACCTTTTGCGCGAAGGCCTGGAGCATCGCCTTGACGGAGGTGACGTAGTTGCGGCGGGCGCGGGTGGTGAGGGTGGTTTGAGCAATTTTGACTTGTTGGTGTAGAAAGTCTTGGAGTGAGCAGATGGTTGAGTGACGTAACTCGTCGGCTTCGCTGTCGATATAACATTCGGCAGCAGTGATGACTTCTCCCAAATTATCGTTTCGAAGGTTGTTCAGCGTATCTCTGATTTTGGCGAGTTTAGTATCTATGTTTTCGTTCTCGAGTGCTTCTAATTTCCATTTGATTCCATCGGCAAAGCCTGCTATCGCCGTTTGGAGATCGTTGAGGTTTTTGGTGATAACCTTGGAAAACCTATACAACACACCATCGTGCCCCTTTATTTTATCATCCAGTGTATTTCGGAGATAGTCCAGACCCTCATCCCTGATCGCCCCAATCGCCAGTGGAAGTTTACCTTCTTTGGGGTCGGTGCCGGACAGATCTGATTTGTCTGTACCTAGGCAAGAGGTGTCTACGCTAAGAAGGTATTTGCTGAATTTTTTACTGTCGAGTGTGACTTTAGCGTCTGCACCTGGCCCACCACCTGGCGCACTTGACTGTTCATCCTTACCGATTTGCTGACCAAGTCTAATACCAAAGGTACGATCAACTTGACCATTTTCGAGCTTACCATAAAGCACGTCGTACTTCGTCTTGAATTGCTGCATAAGAGGCTGTTTAGCGTCCAGCTTTACACTGCCTCCTGTCTCAGCAATATGCTTCTCCACCCCTGCCGCAATTTTTTCATCAGTTTTTCCGGCAAGGTCAATTGCCTTGCCGGAAGTGTATGCAGCGCTGGGATCGACGGGACCATTTCCAGCAACAACCGCCTGGCCAAGCTTATCCTCAAGCGGTTCAACTACCTTTAACGCAGCGTCGAGATTCTCACCGAGCTTGTAGGTGACACTGCTGGAAACATTCCTCTCAGTGAACGATTTGAATTGTTCGGCTACTTTGGTAGCGGTTGACTGGATCGAATGTAAAATTATTTGGACAATTTCATTAAGTGTGCTTTTGGTAGTTTTATGCCGATCCCTTCCTTCACTACCTTCAATTCGATCGCGTCGACTATCCCCTGAACGAACTTAATTCTACCATTAGAATCAGATGCTTCCTTTTTTATCTTCTCCCCAAGCGTCGTGGCAAAATTTGTGATACACTCCTGGACTGCGGTGATGTAACCTTGGATATTCTCTGTCGCGTCGCCCCGTATTTGTACGCTCACAATTTTGATGCCACCTTCGTTTTAATAACTTCCTTGATATCTTCTGCGATTTCATCAGTATGGCTTTTACTAATCCTACTTGTGGAGCCCTCAAAGTATTTTTCATTAAACGTAATGTTAAACCTGCTGTTATAGCTGACATAATTGGAAAAATATTCCTTAATCACCTCATTAGTATCCAAAATGTTTTGTATCCATTTCTGCACTGCACCCCAAAACCCTCATCGCTGCTAAATTGAGCAGCGTAATCCTTCACAATTTTGTCTTTAATACCTTTCAGACCACAATCCTGCGGCTTTCCGTTGCCATTGATGATCTTCGTTACTTCATCCTTTACTGCGGTGACATAATCCTTAACGTACCCCTGCAAATCTGATACAATACTTGTTTTCAAAGTTTTCAATCCACTCTTAACATGCCCCTCCAACTCGGTAATGTTCAAATTCTTGACGTATTTCTGAACGTCCTCCTTTATCCCATCCTTAACCAACTTCAAATCCTTTCTAAGCGCCGCGTCCATTTCTTTTACGGCCTGCAATGCGTCACCGACTAATTTCTCTACATATGTTTCAGCCGCTCTAAACGCCTCGTAGATTTCCTTCGCCTCCTTTATCAAAGCATCGCCGATATAATTAATCTTCACGTAATTGTCCTGCCCAACTTCCCTCTGTATAATTTTATCAATATGCCTTTTGCGTATATTATCAATGTACTTCTTAGCCTCGGTAATCCAATTATTCAACTCGACAAGATAATCTCGCAGCTTGTATTCAATTTCTTCAAGTTTTACTTTAATATTTTTTACCTTGAATTTTAGCGTCTCAACGAGATCCGTCACTTGCTTTTCAATCTGTTCATTTACATTCTTCTCAAGCCATCTCAGCGTATTTCTGATGGTGGAATACGTAGTCACATAGTCATCCCACGCCTTGTCGGAACACCTGTGTAGAACTGCCGACTCATGTGAAATATTATTTTTAGCGTAAATAACATTAATATTACATTTAGTATTAAGGTCTGCTATGTGCCTATGTGCGCTATTCATGTGCGTTACAAATATCTCAGCTTGACGCTTCGACTCCTTAAGTATAATGCTCACGGATTTCAATGCCTTCTCAGCTTGCTCGTCACTGGCACCTTCAACCTGCAAACCATTAGATGTATTTGAATCACTCACCTGTTTTTTAAGCTCTTCCATCTCTTTGTGAAGCTTGATTATAGGAGCAGAGACTTTCTTATTTGAATCCTCCACTTCCCTATTATACTCCCCCACACCCTGCGCCACCCGGTCAATGACAGTCTGAAAACCCTTATGACCTGAACATAATTTACCATTAAAATGACTCAAAACATTATCACGTAATATATTTTTACCAACATTGTAAGGCTGTTTATCGTGGACATCTTTGAGAACGGAATGCAAAAACGCCATCACCCCGTCGCACAGCCTGTCAAGGTCCGAGTACACGATACCCTCGCCGGTGTAATTACCATTACTAAGGCCGAGAAATTTTTCGAGGCCTGTGCAGAGGTAATTTAATAATGTTGTTGAAGGATTATTCTAAGCACATTTTCAGGGCGATTTGGGGGAGTTTGGAGAAAGGCGATTTTAGGTGAAGGAGGCAGTGAGGCAGCGAGGGAGGTGGGTGGACAGGGTGAGGGAGGTGAAGGGGCGAGAGAGGGCGGTGAAGGAGGAAGAGGGGTTGAGGTAAGGCGGTTTTAGGGGTGGAGGGGAAAAGTGTAAAATGAGGTTTTGGGTGAAGGACGCCGACGGAGGAGGTGAGGGAGGGGTGATGGAGAGGGAGCGAAGCGACCAGTGAAGGAGGTGGTGGTTGAGTGGGTGAGTATGTGGTTGAGTGGGTGAGTATGTGGTTGGGTGGGTGAGTGGGTGGTTGATTAGGTGAGTGAGTGATTGGGTGGTTGAGTGGGTGGTTGAGTGATTGGGTGAGAGAGTGGGTGAGTGGGTGGGTGAGTGGGTGATTGTGTGAGTAGGTGGTTGAGTGGTTGAGTGGGTGAGTGGGTGAGTGGGTGGGTGAGTGGGTGAGTGGTTGAGTGAGTGGGTGAGTGGGTGGGTGATTAGGTGAGTGAGTGAGTGAGTGGGTGATACACAGATCACACGTGAAGGCACGATTATGGTGAGAAGTACTTGACGTTGGCGAGTGCCTTGACGCGTGCGGCGGCGAGCAGCGACTGTGCGGCGATGCGGTGGCTTGAGGGCGATCGCAGGTGGGAGCGTATCCTCAGGACGTCGAGGCGGACGACGGCGATGTGCAGCAGGTACAGGAGCGAGAGCGACCAGAGGGCTAGCAGTGTCCAGATGAAATTCTTTCTTACTGCTAAAAAGAAATTATCGATTGCCTCGAGGAAGTCCCCCAGCAATTTCGAATTCAATATGCCATCAATTGCCTTGTAGAATGTGCTGCACGTTTTTGTACTTGTGTAGCCGTCCTCCGAATACACAAGCCCATGTTCATATAATACGGGCAATACGCCACGACAATGAGCTATTGATGCACAATCACATGACTCAGTGCCATGTTTGCCAGATTTGCATTTTCCTTCATGGTGACATCCCCTACAACCTGAGTCAGAACAGGAAATATTACTGAATGATTCTTTCAGCTGCTCGAGGAATGTTTGAAGCCTAGGGCACACATATAACAACCACGTCAGATATTTGCCGGCATTTTGGCAGCAAAGGTGTAATATGCAGTACTATTAAGGGTTTAATAAAACTACCGCAACCTTTCTGATTGCATCCAACAAGATATTTGATATCGGGGCTATCAATGTTGTGGGAAACATGAGTTGCATTCTCATAAAAACACGGCAGGGGTTAAGCAGCTTACGTGCATCTGCAGCATCACATGCCACCGTAGCTGTTATTTGCTCGTAGAGAGCGCACTGAATGGGATGCTTTGGTTTGGTATCTAACGGCATCAGGTCCCATGACTGTGCGAATTGGCAGTAGAACGAAAGTACATCAGTCAACGTCTTAGGCGTAAGGCCAACCAGGCATGAAATGCATGAATAAAGGTTGGACATACATCCTTCTCTACCGCACAATTTGCCCAGCACGTTACATAGGTCTTTGCCTGTCCTTTTGCTTCCCGAGAAACTTCTGAAGCCAAGCGGCGTCAAACATGGCATGTTACCTGCGCTCTTACTGCACGTGGAACATACAAGTTTGCCTTTAAAGGATATGAGAGCGTGAGGCAATAAGCCTCTCTGACTATCAGTCAGGTATGAGTGCAGCGGCGAACCGACAGAACAGTCGGCAGTCGATGACAATTTGTCACCCTCTGGACTGCACTGCCAGCCGGATGTCTGAACACCCGTTCCAAAGTCGCAGTCTGCCCAGCCAAACGACGATTTATATAGACGACATCGATTAAGTAGAAATTTAGAAACGGAGTATATTCTACGAAGTACATCAAGAAGCATGTCGAAGCAACTGTTGGCGTTCGATGGGTAATGTAAGCCCAGCTTATTGGCAAAATAGTCACAACCATAGTAGGTTGCAGCGTCGCCGTGGCCGGCGATTCCAACCAACAAATCATAGGCAGGCGTAGATATTGCGGGCAGGTGTACTGCAACCACGTCGTATAACATATTTCTAAGTAAGTCATCCTTTTCGTCTTTAATCATAGCGTTACACTGGACCATAGTTTTCTGATAAAACACGTTGTACGTAAGGCCGGAACACCATGCCAGCATCTCAAAGACACTGCAAGGGTATCTAGTTGCAGAGAAAGTGGAGAGGTGGCAAGCATAGAAATACCTTTCCAGGTAATCATAAAGTTTGCGAAGAACGTTATTAGATTTCATGGAGGCATGAACGGATTTGAGATAAATATTGAAATTAATGTGGTTGGCACTTGGCGATGCATTGAATTCTCCGTGCTTACTGAAGCCGTTGCCTAATTTGACGGCAACATTATGACCGGTCGTATTTGTTATAAGGTTGTCGATCTTGAAGCCATGACGTTCCAAATGTTTTTGTAATTTATTCTTTTCAGCATCGGTTATTGCACTACCGTCAACTGCAAGGTCTCTATATTTCTTGGCGCAGTTGTAAAACAGCTTATGCAGGTCATTAAAAAGCAGATGAATTGTCGTCAAGCAAACCTTAGACAAATTTCTGCCGTCCGGGGTCAAGACTTGTTCCTTGGGTTTTGCAACCGGAGACTTTTCTGCAGGTATTTTTGCGGGCTCATCTTCTTTGTCCTTCAACAAATTATTGAAGTCAATTGGATGAGGATGTCCCTCGTATACGTTTATGTACGCCTTCCTCATCTGGTCAACAAATTTATTCAGCCCCTTACCAAGACCATCCAGTATCGGCGTATTGGACAGCTCGAAGGATGCTGGTTTCAGCTTAGAAATAGCACCAGAGAGACTATCAACGAGCATAGGGAACGCACAGTCGTACCTTTTCTCGGTGCTGATATGATTAAGCAAGCTTTGAAGTGCGTCAAAAATAATTCGAAGCTTAGTGGTGTACAGATCTTCCTCCCCTGATGGCTTAGGATTCTTCTTGTCATTCTCATCCCTGTGAACCTTCACTATTTCTCCATTAACGTAGTCCTTTACAGGACCCATGAATGTCAAGAAGCTGTAGGCAAAGTCTTGGAGTCTTGTTGCTTCTCCTTGACCTTTAAGAGTTTTCTCAAGGGAGTTATCGAGCGTCTTCATAAACCCCTTGAATCCTATGCGCAGGTCCTCCTCGATCGCGGCGGGCAAAGGGCTCAGCTCCTGCGTGACCTTTTGCGCGAAGGCCTGGAGCATCGCCTTGACGGAGGTGACGTAGTTGCGGCGGGCGCGGGTGGTGAGGGTGGTTTGAGCAATTTTGACTTGTTGGTGTAGAAAGTCTTGGAGTGAGCAGATGGTTGAGTGACGTAACTCGTCGGCTTCGCTGTCGATATAACATTCGGCAGCAGTGATGACTTCTCCCAAATTATCGTTTCGAAGGTTGTTCAGCGTATCTCTGATTTTGGCGAGTTTAGTATCTATGTTTTCGTTCTCGAGTGCTTCTAATTTCCATTTGATTCCATCGGCAAAGCCTGCTATCGCCGTTTGGAGATCGTTGAGGTTTTTGGTGATAACCTTGGAAAACCTATACAACACACCATCGTGCCCCTTTATTTTATCATCCAGTGTATTTCGGAGATAGTCCAGACCCTCATCCCTGATCGCCCCAATCGCCAGTGGAAGTTTACCTTCTTTGGGGTCGGTGCCGGACAGATCTGATTTGTCTGTACCTAGGCAAGAGGTGTCTACGCTAAGAAGGTATTTGCTGAATTTTTTACTGTCGAGTGTGACTTTAGCGTCTGCACCTGGCCCACCACCTGGCGCACTTGACTGTTCATCCTTACCGATTTGCTGACCAAGTCTAATACCAAAGGTACGATCAACTTGACCATTTTCGAGCTTACCATAAAGCACGTCGTACTTCGTCTTGAATTGCTGCATAAGAGGCTGTTTAGCGTCCAGCTTTACACTGCCTCCTGTCTCAGCAATATGCTTCTCCACCCCTGCCGCAATTTTTTCATCAGTTTTTCCGGCAAGGTCAATTGCCTTGCCGGAAGTGTATGCAGCGCTGGGATCGACGGGACCATTTCCAGCAACAACCGCCTGGCCAAGCTTATCCTCAAGCGGTTCAACTACCTTTAACGCAGCGTCGAGATTCTCACCGAGCTTGTAGGTGACACTGCTGGAAACATTCCTCTCAGTGAACGATTTGAATTGTTCGGCTACTTTGGTAGCGGTTGACTGGATCGAATGTAAAATTATTTGGACAATTTCATTAAGTGTGCTTTTGGTAGTTTTATGCCGATCCCTTCCTTCACTACCTTCAATTCGATCGCGTCGACTATCCCTGAACGAACTTAATTCTACCATTAGAATCAGATGCTTCCTTTTTATCTTCTCCCCAAGCGTCGTGGCAAAATTTGTGATACACTCCTGGACTGCGGTGATGTAACCTTGGATATTCTCTGTCGCGTCGCCCCGTATTTGTACGCTCACAATTTTGATGCCACCTTCGTTTTTAATAACTTCCTTGATATCTTCTGCGATTTCATCAGTATGGCTTTTACTAATCCTACTTGTGGAGCCCTCAAAGTATTTTTCATTAAACGTAATGTTAAACCTGCTGTTATAGCTGACATAATTGGAAAAATATTCCTTAATCACCTCATTAGTATCCAAAATGTTTTGTATCCATTTCTGCACTGCACCCCAAAACCCTCATCGCTGCTAAATTGAGCAGCGTAATCCTTCACAATTTTGTCTTTAATACCTTTCAGACCACAATCCTGCGGCTTTCCGTTGCCATTGATGATCTTCGTTACTTCATCCTTTACTGCGGTGACATAATCCTTAACGTACCCCTGCAAATCTGATACAATACTTGTTTTCAAAGTTTTCAATCCACTCTTAACATGCCCCTCCAACTCGGTAATGTTCAAATTCTTGACGTATTTCTGAACGTCCTCCTTTATCCCATCCTTAACCAACTTCAAATCCTTTCTAAGCGCCGCGTCCATTTCTTTTACGGCCTGCAATGCGTCACCGACTAATTTCTCTACATATGTTTCAGCCGCTCTAAACGCCTCGTAGATTTCCTTCGCCTCCTTTATCAAAGCATCGCCGATATAATTAATCTTCACGTAATTGTCCTGCCCAACTTCCCTCTGTATAATTTTATCAATATGCCTTTTGCGTATATTATCAATGTACTTCTTAGCCTCGGTAATCCAATTATTCAACTCGACAAGATAATCTCGCAGCTTGTATTCAATTTCTTCAAGTTTTACTTTAATATTTTTTACCTTGAATTTTAGCGTCTCAACGAGATCCGTCACTTGCTTTTCAATCTGTTCATTTACATTCTTCTCAAGCCATCTCAGCGTATTTCTGATGGTGGAATACGTAGTCACATAGTCATCCCACGCCTTGTCGGAACACCTGTGTAGAACTGCCGACTCATGTGAAATATTATTTTTAGCGTAAATAACATTAATATTACATTTAGTATTAAGGTCTGCTATGTGCCTATGTGCGCTATTCATGTGCGTTACAAATATCTCAGCTTGACGCTTCGACTCCTTAAGTATAATGCTCACGGATTTCAATGCCTTCTCAGCTTGCTCGTCACTGGCACCTTCAACCTGCAAACCATTAGATGTATTTGAATCACTCACCTGTTTTTTAAGCTCTTCCATCTCTTTGTGAAGCTTGATTATAGGAGCAGAGACTTTCTTATTTGAATCCTCCACTTCCCTATTATACTCCCCCACACCCTGCGCCACCCGGTCAATGACAGTCTGAAAACCCTTATGACCTGAACATAATTTACCATTAAAATGACTCAAAACATTATCACGTAATATATTTTTACCAACATTGTAAGGCTGTTTATCGTGGACATCTTTGAGAACGGAATGCAAAAACGCCATCACCCCGTCGCACAGCCTGTCAAGGTCCGAGTACACGATACCCTCGCCGGTGTAATTACCATTACTAAGGCCGAGAAATTTTTCGAGGCCTGTGCAAAGGTTATTTAATAATATTGATGAAGGATTATTTTAGGCACATTTTCAGGGCGAATTGGGGGAATTTGGGGAAAGGCGATTTTAGGTCAAGGAGGCAGTGAGGCAGCGAGGGAGGTGGGTGGTTGAGTGGGTGAGTGAGTGAGTGAGTATGTGGTTGAGTGAGTGGGTGAGTATGTGAGTGAGTGGGTGGGTGGTTGAGTGGTTGAGTGAGTGAGTGAGTGAGTTGGTGAGTGAGTGAGTGAGTGGATGAGTGAGTGAGTGGGTGAGTGGTTGAGTGGTTGAGTGAGTGAGTTGAGTGAGTGAATGAGTGGGTGGGTGATACACAGATCACACGTGAAGGCACGATTATGGTGAGAAGTACTTGACGTTGGCGAGTGCCCTGACGCGTGCGGCGGCGAGGAGGGACTGCGCGGCGATGCGGTGGCTTGAGGGTGACCTCAGGTGGGAGCGTATCCTCAGGACGTCGAGGCGGACGACGGCGATGTGCAGCAGGTACAGGAGCGAGAGCGACCAGAGGGTGAGAAGGGTGTAGGAGAAATTCTCTCTTATTATCCAGATGAACTCATCGATGTCTTTGATAAGCTGGATGAGAACAGATTCCTTGTCAAGCACTTTTTTCAGAGCTTCACAGAAATCTCTACATGTTCGTTGTTTTTCAATTTTATATTCTCCGCTGAGTTTGTGTGGACTGCTAAAGGTGAACCCATACCTGTACAGTGTCGGATGCATATCCGGACATTTGACGATGGAGTTGCATTTTTCATTATGCTTGTCACCTGTAGATGGGATCTTTGAAGTTCCAGTTGCATCAGCATATTTAACTTTGCAATCTGTAGCACAGCTTCTATCGCAGCATCTGGTGCCTGGCGTTTCGCATTTTTTGCACGACTCATACAAGTTGTGGAGCAATGCAAGGAATGTCTCCGTACTGTATGTAACCCATGATAGATAACTGCTGGCATACTTTTCGGAATACATGGATCGGGTATGCAATGTAATGGGATGCAAGTATCGGCCGCAGGGTAGGCCGGATGTTATCGTGGGATCACAATCTGTAAGACTGAACAAGTCTCCATTTTCATGGTTTGATTTTCCATGCTTTTCATGTAAAACGGTATCGAACAAAATCGTTGGATTCAGGTCAGAATAATTCTGGCCGAAATTGGCTATTTTGACAGCTTTGTCAAATGCGACACTCTTATGCTGCATAATCTTTTGTCGTTCCAGTGCTTAAGGAACTGATAGTAGAAAGCTAACATATCGCCCAGAGTTTGCGGTGGTTGACGCAGAATACACGATAGGTAAGAACACAACGTAGCGAGGTTTGAACCTGAATTACAGAATTCATTAAGAGCGTTTGTAAGATACTCCCCATTCTTACTATGCGACGCCATTGTGGAAATATCGGCAAAACCCATCGGCGTGATACATGGAATGCCGAAATGATTGTTAAGCGAACACGTTAGTCTGCAACCAGGTGACTTAAATTGGTGTGGCAAAAGCCAGGGAGACCATCTTCGAGGAACGATTGAAGTGGTGATTTTATGCCACAGTTGACGTGTTGGTTGGCCACTTGGTCGGCCTTTTGGTTACATGTTTGGTTGTGCTTTTGGTCGCAGTCTTGCTTAGGACAGTACAGCTTGTTGCATTGCCATGAGGAGCCACCGATGTACCTGCCATAATGGCAGTCTCGCCACCCACCACGGCTACTACCATTTTTACACAGGCTATATACAAAGTATGTTTGTTGAAACACTCTACGTAAGATGTCTACAAGCATATCTAAGCAGGAAGAGACGTTACTGGGATACGATAATTTCTCTTGGTTTGTGCGGAAATCGCACGCATATATGCCACCTGCGTGGCCGTGACCAAGTATTGCGACTAGTGCAAGTTGCGAGCGTAAACAAACTTGCCCGAGTTGGACAACTAGGGTGTCAGCTGTGAAAGGTGTAGTGGCATCTAGTTTTAAATGCTTAGCTTCAATGTCCTTGTATTCTCTGTGGTCATTCTTCCCGTTGGGCTTATCTAACAATGTCTTAAAGAACGCCTCCAGTTTGCTACGCATCGGATTAAACCGAAGTCCAGACAGCCATTGCATCATCTGGTAGATATTACTCGGCGCCTTGGGAGAATCGATATGTATATGCTGACATACATTGTAGTACTTTCGGAACAGCCAGCGAAGGAATTCAACAAAGTCGATGAAAGAGATATTAGTGTTACTCTGTGCAACATTGAAAGCTACTTTGTTTTTCTCTTTCATCCAATCAGCAAGGCATTGAATGCTGGGAACGCTTCTTGTATGGTCAAGCAATTCTGTCTTAATTTGCTGACCTGTGAACTTCTCATTATACCTCAACTCCCCATTCTGCTTCTTGTCATCTTCTGGCGCCTTGAAACCACGCTTATCAAAAAATTCACCGAGCGGATTTTTAATTTTCTCCTTTTGCTGCCCCTTCGCTGGTGATTTTGCGTTAGGTTTATCAACCATTCCTAAATGAATTCTCATGCCATTCCATTCCCCTCCTCCGTTACACTTACTCTTCAACGTATTGAAGTCTGCAAACAATCCCTCCATTATGGTCAGACAGACCTTGGCGCAGTTGCGGCCCTCGGTGGTTAACTCCATCTCAGTGTCCGAAGGAGACTGAGATCCGGGAGCGGAGGCAGAAACTGGAGAGCCTTGTAGTCCTCTGGCGGGAGCAGTAATCTGGGAGGCAGCAGCGCTTGAGGCATGAGATGCTAGGCCGGCACCGGCAGCAGGCTGTGGAGTGACAGATGCCTTCTTTTGTAACAACGCACCGTTAAACTTCTGCTGTGAATAGGCTGAGACGTACGCCTCTTGTAACTCATTTGCCAGTCCTGTCATTCCTTTTTTCAGGATATCAGCCAACTCTGGATGGTGGGAATTAACGAACTGCTTAGGTGAAAAGCTGCTGAGCTTATTAGTGAGATTCTTAATGTTTTCTTTAAAAGTGTGGTCGAAGTGTTTTGACGCGTAAAGGTCGTCGAATAAAGTATGAGAGAGCAAGGAGATGGATTTCACGTCGCTTTTAAGTGCACTGTCTCCATCTACTTGTCCTTTTCCATAGTCCATAATTTTGGCAAGGAACTTATTGAAGTAGAGGGCCATTAGCGCTAATTCAGTTTTATCGGGAATCTGTGATAGATTAGCTTTATGTTTATCAATTTCCTTCATCAGGCCCTTAATTCCGGATGCTTCGTCCGTTTTGATTGCATCTTCAATAAGCTTTTTATGCTTTTCGTAGAGCTGTGTCAACGCTTGTAATGCCTTGTGAACCGTAGCATTGTATTGATCTCTGGCTGCCGTCCTGATTGCTGTGACGGCCAATTTGATCTGTTCCTGGTAAAGGTCGTGGACAACGCCGATGACCTCGTGGGCTTTCGTCTCGTGGGCTTTCGTCTCGGCGGCTTGAAGTTTTTGATCGGCTGAGGATCGCAGTTGAACCAACACGTCCTTATGAAGTTTCTTAATCCTTTCCTGGATCCCTTCAAGCCCGGATTTCTTACCTTTACCAATGTCACCTTGCAATTCCTTAAGAAGTGGTAGGATGCCCTTGTCTTTAGATTCCTTTTTGCCGTCTTTGTTGAGCCATTCTTTAAGCTGAGCAAGCTTATTTGTTATACGCTCGAGCGTCTGCTTTACTTCTTGTTTTTCAGGTTCTACCTTGGCGAAGTTGTCAACGACATTTTTGGTTTTAAAGGGTTGTAACACGTTGCCTACTTCCTTGATTTTAGCTTCAAGTTCAGGCAGCGCGCCTTTGCTGCCATGTTCTTTATAACCTTTGAAGTCGTCAGCGGTTATCTTGTAGTCATTCGTTCCAAGAGGTATAATCCCGCCTTCAAATGCTGCTATCCGTTGGATGTCATCCTTAAGCGTACCGCCGTTTTGCGTCGTCTGCCTATTGAAATCAGCAAATACTTTTTGAAACTCGGAATCTTTGTTTTCTTTTACCGCCTGTATCACCTTTTTAACGTTATTTCGGAGGTCTTCAATGAGACAGTCAAAAAAATTCTTATCGCCATCTACTTTGGGGCCATCGCCGTAGAGTTTTTCTAAGAGGGCTTTGAAATTCTTAAAACTGTGGTCGGCTACTGTGGGAATGGTACCACACTCTTTTGAGGTGTGGGATAATAGGTCTAGAGCGCCCGTAAAGCTGCCATTAACCATCGCTTGCTCAGCCCATGCAACCAACTTTCGTACATTGCTACCTTCCGTCACTGCAAGACCCCCAGCAAATTTGGCGACGATTCCCGCGCCATCATTCAAAGCTGCAGTGCTGAGAGTAGTAAGTCCGCGTCCTTGAATTCCGTCTTTGATTCCCCCCTGCAAAGCGTTTATCACGTCATGAATGGGTCTGTCCATTCTCTTTTCCTTCAACACCTCCAATCCGCTTTGAACTGCTGACTTCAAGCTAGCAAGATTCCCCACCGCTTTTGTCACCTTGCTATGTACCTCCTTGGCTACTTCTTTAATCTTCATTTCGTAAACCCCTTCCAAGCTTTTTACCCTCTGAGTGATTTCCTGTGGCAGCTTAGTAACCTTCCCATGGGTTTCCTGCAGAGCTGTTAAAAGTTTTTCTGCCTTATCCTGCAATGCCCTGGCATTTTTGGTTATAGCCTCTTTACCCTGCGTGTCATCAACTTCCGGCAGAATTAAATTAGCCTTACGTTCTGCCTCCTTCACAAAACTCTCAGCCTGTGCGATCCACTTTTGCAGATCACTCTCGATGCTAGACACATCTTTAATGATCCTATCAATTTCCTGCTGTATCTCTCTCTTCAACTGCGCAACTTTCTCGGTAACAAGCTTTTGATGCTCCTTTTCATGCTGCCCTTTCAACTTCCCCAATTCCTCAGCTTTTTTATCCACATCCTCAAGCACCTCTAGCAAAACACCATTTCCGGCCAAGGCGGCAAATCTTGTCACCTCGAGTTTGATTGTGTTATAATCATCTTTTAACCTATTTTTTAGGTTCTCGTCAAGCCTCTTAAAATTATCTTCAACCACACTTAACTGCGCAGTGAACTGTCCGGCTGCCTGATTACACTGATTCAACTGCTTTACAAGTTCATCATTTTGATCTGTTACAGCAGAATTGAGAGACTCAAGCGCTTTACTATAGGTCTTAATATGATTGCTATCAAGAGTATTTAAAGCACTTTTAAACGCCTCACTGTCTTTCTCAAACTCGTGAACATAATTCCCAATGCCGGAAGTCACGCGGCCAAGAACGCCTTTTAGCCCAGATTTTCCTTGAGCAGTTTTGAGCTCATTAACAGACTTTTCAAGCGTATTAGCATATTTGTTAAGATTACTGTCGTTTTTTACAGTCTGAAGAACACCATGAAGGAAAGACATCACCCCGTCGCACAGCCTGTCAAGGTCCGAGTACACGATGCCGGAGCCGGTGTAATTCCCCTTCTCGTAGCCGAGAAAATTTTCGAGGCCTGTGCAGAGGTTATTTAATAATGATGTTGAAGGATTTTGGTCAACAAGATTTTTTTGAATTTTCTCAGCATATCCACAAAGCTCATTCAGTGTCTCAAGAGACCCCAAGGAAGCCTTATGAGACTGAAGATCCTTATTAAGCTTGTCAATTTGAGAGGCATTTTGAGGGGATTGAAAGGCTATTGTAAGCATTAAAAGGGTATTATTAAGGACATTTTTAGGGCGATTTGGGGGAATTTGGGGAAAGGCGATTTTAGGTGAAGGAGGCAGCGAGGGAGGTGAGGGAGGTGGGTGGACAGGGTGAGGGAGGTGAAGGGGCGAAAGAGGGCGATGAAGGAGGAAGATGGGTTTGGATAAGGCGATTTGGGAGGTCGAGGGAGAAAGGTGGAAAATGAGGATTTGGGCGAATGACGCCGACGGAGGAGGTGATGGAGGAGGAGGCAGGGAGCGAAGCGACCAGTGAAGGAGGGAGGTGAGTGAGTGAGTGGGTGAGTATGTGGTTGAGTGGGTGAGTATGTGATTAGGTGAGTGAGTTGGTGGGTGAGTGAGTGGGTGGGTGAGTGGGTGATACACAGATCACACGTGAAGGCACGATTATGGTGAGAAGTACTTGACGCTGGCGAGTGCCCTGACGCGTGCGGCGGCGAGGAGGGACTGCGCGGCGATGCGGTGGCTTGAGGGTGATCTCAGGTGCGAGCGTATCCTCAGGACGTCGAGGCGGACGACGGCGATGTGCAGCAGGTGCAGGAGCGAGAGCGACCAGAGGGCTAACAATAATGACATGAAGGGGAATCTGATTTGTTTCAAAAATTCATCGCACTCAGTGAACAGCTTATCGAAATATGTGGAGTGCAGCACATTATGTAATTGAGTACAGAAATTGGAACATGTTTTCTTGCCATCTTTGGCATTCAACGCTGCTGGCGCACCAAATGTGAAACCGTACTTATACAGCGTCGGCATCATTCCTCTGCATTGGACCATCGATTCACAATGACAATTCGCTTTTTTCGTTTTCTCGTCGGTGAGGCCATGCTCTCCACGTCTGCACGTTTCAGCACGTAGACATCCTCTGCATCCCCAGTCCTGGCAGAAGATGTCCTTGATGGCGTTGTATAGACTTTCGAGGTAACTCCATAACGACCACGGCGAGTAAACTGCCCAGGAAAGGTACAGCTTGGAATGCGATTTGCCTAAGTAACTGTAGTAATCGGAGCACAACGTATATACATAAGGGGCACACAGCTGACCGGAACATGCGGTGGCCATACAGAGGCTTGACAAGTCACCGTATTTGATTTCGTCATTCTTAGTTGGATGTTTGTCACTACTGTGACTACTCTGGCTGCTACCGTAAGCGTTGCTCAGCGCAGTGGTCAGGGTGGCAGCGTTTTCATATAGGCTAATGGAACGGTCGTCGATAGCCTTTTTAAAGGCATTTTCTATGAGATGACTACCAGACTCATTCCACTTACTAACAAGTGACAACGCAAACCCGAAGTGTTCTGGAAGTGTACTTGGTGCTTTGGGCGCAAGACAGAAGAGCGATGCAAGGTATGTGTCACCGAACAAGTTACGCAGCACGTTGCTTAGGTCTTCACCCTTGCGCGTGGTCCCAGAGAAACCTCTGAAGCCAAGAGGTGTTAAGCATGGCATTCCAGGCTGGCCTTTAGGGCAATTACTGCAAACTGATTTGCAGCCAATGGAACTCAGATGGTGTGGCAAGTGACCGGGTAAACAATCATTTAAGTAAGACATTAACGGTGAAGTTGGTTGGCAGTTTGGTTTGCTGTTTGCCTGGCAGTTTGGTTGGCAATTTGATTCAGACGTTGAGTGGTTGGTACACTGCCATTTGGCTGGGGTTGTGTTCTTGCCGTAGTGGCAGTCCCCCCAGCCGTAGTCTGATTCACCGACTCTGCACTGGAAGAACAAGAATCTAAGCGGAGGGAACATTCGACGCAATATGTCTAATAATGTATCTAAGCACTCTGCTCCACTTTTAGGATAATAGAATTTCATGGAGTTATCATAGAAATCACAGGCGTACATAGTATGCTCGTCGCCGAAGCCGAGAACGGTCGTCAAGATGGAGGCAGATTTCGAACAAATATGGTCTAACAAATTCTCGAAATTTGCATACGTGACTTTATGTGGATATGTATTTAGGAATGTATCTTTCATGTCAAACGCAACAAGGCCATCGGCGTCGGCGCCAAGTGGATTAGATGGAGTTTCAAGCTTTTCGCTAATAGTCTCCAGCAGCGCAGAATGAACAGAATTATAGGTGAGACCGGCACACCAGAGTAACATTTCATACACGGAACACGGCGACTTGGTGGCGAATGAAGTGGCGATGTGACCGACAGCGTAGTAGTCTTGGAGGCAGTGGTACAGCTTTTGCAGTGGATATTCGGAATCTTCATGCTTGTGGTAAACATGCTCATAATCGCTTTCGGTGACGAGAAGATCATAAACCTTCTGACCTTTGCAATCATCTTTATTCCGCAAATGGCCATTTTGCTTGCCGGCAGCGTCGGACACCTCATAGCCGCACTTCTGGAAGAAGTGACCAAGGGGGTTTTCGGTCTGCCATTCTTTCTTATTCTTGTCTACAATGACGGCGGTGCCTTCATGAATTGTAAAATATTGCCAATTATTTTTGCACCTTACTCTCAATTTACCTAGGCTGGTGCTTAAGGTGGAGAGAAGCGTCAAGCAGACTTTTGCACAGTTTCTTCCTTCGTTGGTCAACTGCTCCTTATCTTTTTCTATAGTCACCAACTTGCCGAGTCTCTCTGTGCCGGCGTATTCATTAATATACGCCTGTCCAAGCTCTCCAGTGAAGGACGTCATTCCCTGTTTGAGGATCTCCAAGAGAGGCAACGACACGTCGGAGAAAGACGACGAGGCATGGAAATTTTCGAGCAGACTTTGAAGTTGGTCAAACAATTGGGAGAAATTGTAGTCGAAGTTGTAAACTCTATTTGGAACGGAGTTATTATTTAGATGTACAAGCAATTTCTCGACACGCTCATAAAGCTCTTGGACCTTGGGGGAGTAGACGTTCGTCGTTGCAGACTTAAACAGTCTCCCAACATCTTTGTGAATATAAAGGAAGAGTGAACGCAAATAGTTTTTGAACGCCTCCGAGAGCTTGGAGAATTTCTTTATGGTGCCCGAGTTATCCGTACCTACAGCCTTCATGAGTTGAGTAAGCAAGTTACTAGAATCAGAAACATCTCCGTCTCTCAGCTTGTTCATTAGGCCCTTTACGGCTGTCTTTTTGTCCTCCTCTATTATGCCTTCAATGATCTTCTTCTGCGCGTCGACCAATTCTTTAAGGGCGTTCAGATCGGATTTGTGTTGATCTGCGAAGAGGGTTTTGATGGCTGTGGTGACTTTATTGAACGATGTGTGGACTTGTTGGAGGAGATTTCTTTGTAGAGTTGTGACTGCTTTTTGGACGGTGTCATACCATTTCGTTACGGCATCCGTGACGGTATTAATGGCATTTTGAATAAACACCTCGGCATCGAGGACGGCTTTCATTATTGCCTGGATTCTATTTTGAATCTCTTCTTTCAACTGCGTCATTTTATTACCTGCTTGTTGCTTTCTCTCCTCAATGTTACCTTCTTGTTCTTTCTCTTTCTTCAGCTTCTCGAGCTCATCAAGAACACTCTGTAGTCCGTTGGTTGCGTTATCAAGCTTATGTCTAAGTGAGCCGGTTTGGGCCGCGCTTTTGTGCAATACTGTATCAAGCGTAGCAATTGGCGTTGAAACATCTTGAATGGCCTTCGTTATATGCTGTCCGTACTCTCCCTTATCGTTTTCAAATTCTTGGCCGATTTCTTTGACACTTGCTATAGCCTCCCCCAGCAAGTTGTCAATCTTGGACTTTTGGATGAAAGAATTGATTTGCTCGCCTACGTGTTTCGCAGTGGAGTAAAGGGCGGGGAGCATGGTTTCTAATGATTTTTTAAGGTAGTTTCGGTACATCATATTCGAATGCTTATATGCGTCTGTCTGCTGTGGAGGGATAATAACCCCTTCAACCGCCTCAACGATTCCGCTGAGGTTGCTGGGATTGACTGCCTCTGAAACGGCATCAAGATAACTCTTAATCTGGGCTAAGTCCCTATCAACAATGCCTGTTGGTAAAAAAGATGCTTTAACACGCTTATGAATTTGTGTTGCAATTAATGGAACCAAAATTTTTATTTTATCTTCTACACGGTCGCCATTGAATCTCGTATCAAAATAGCTATGACATTGGGTTACATAATAATCGAGATTACCCTTAATCGGCTCCTCAGCCACAATTACATTTAACCACGAATTCACAAAATTGTTCTCAAAATCCTTATATACATTCACATAGTCCTTTACACCCTTCACAATTCCACCAAGGTGGCCTTTGCCCTGATCTGCATCACCAATTAGTTTTACATCGACAAGCTCCTTAATCTTAACTCCAAGTGAATCCCAATTGGTGTTTATGCTATCTTTTTGGCTACCTTTGACTTTAGCCTTCAAAGTCTCTAAACCCCCCTGAGCCTGCTCGACCAGACTGCCAAGATCAATTTGCTTGTGCTGTAAATTGTAATACAACGTATCTACTGCCGTTCTAATATCCTTAAACTTATCAAGGACTCCCATTTTATATGTCCCGTCAAAGGTGTCAACTAGTCTCTGAGCATCCTCCAATGCTTCCTTAATACGCCTAAACTGGTCCTTCTTTATCTTATTCAAAAGATCAATATTTTTTGCAACGTCATTAAACCCATCAGTTAACGATTTTTGCACCTTCTTACTCTCATCGTTCATGCTCTCCACAATATTCTCCTTCTGTTTCGCCAAATGATGATCAACCGCCCGTGCCCTCTCGGCCAAATCATCGTTAACACTAACACTTCTCATATGTTCCACTACACTCTTAACACGCACAAAGTCATGCATAATTTTATCGCAAAGTGATTTATCTAATAAATTAATATACTGAGTTTCAATGTTTTCTACAGCAGTGGATATGCCATCCACAGTATCCCTCCAAGAGGTCAACTGCCTTTCAAGTGCCATAGATTTATTAGTATCTACAGATGTTTTGTGCCTACGTGCTAAGTCGCTACTAAGTGCGCTAAGTCCGTCTACTACATCATTTGTTCGCGCCGTAACGGCCAACCCATAATGGCTAAGCATAGACTGTACAGACACCACGAAATCATGGAAACCATCACGCCCAGTATGCAATTTATCTAAGATATTAGTAAGAGTTTTGTTAATGTTATAGTATGTGGAAACGCTTGGATGATTTCTCACTCCACTAAGAACTCCACCCAAAAACGCCATCACCCCGTCGCACAGCCTGTCAAGGTCCGAGTACACGATGCCAGTGCCGTCGTAGCCTTTGGAAGTTTCTTGGTAACCAAGGAACTTCTCCAGCCCGGTGCACAAATTGTTTAAAATGCTTAAACATTCTCCATCTTTATTCTTTTCAACACTCTGATGAAATGTAATAAGCTTTTCAAGACTTTCAAGAGACCCCAACGAAGTCTTATGAGACTGCAATTTGCCCTGCTCAGTTTCAAGCTGACTAGAAAGATTGTAGGGAATGGAGATATCTGCATCTTTAATAGCATTATTTTTAGGATCATTTTTATGCGCTTCAATATTCTTATTGATGTCAGCAATTTCTTTATTAAGCTTCTTAATGTATTCATCAATTTTGATTTTAGGCTGATTTAAAGCACCATTAAGCTCTTCAATTTGCTGTTCAACAAGCTTTTTATGCTCTTTAAGCTTCTCTTCATTTTGCTTAATTTTCTCATTAAGCCTCTCAATCTCAGGCGCCTGTTCAGGCGCCCTTCCAGGCGCCTCACTTTTTTCATCTTTTTGCTTATTAAGGCCATTAATTTCTCTCTCAATTTCATCAATGTCATTAAATGTCTTTTGAAGTTTTTTAAGATGTCCATCACGGAAATTCTTAACATCCTTACAACACCCCTCACCTCCGCAAGATTTATTTAAAAGCCCAACAAGCTGATTTACATTGCTGTGCAAAGCCTTCAAAATTGCATCTTTAACTTCCTGTCCACCGCCAATAAAACCCGAAAGCTGTCCAGCAAGCGTACCAAGAGAGATACGGCGTTCAGCAAGATCCTTCAAGGCTCTGTTTCTAGCATCGTCAGTAAGGTAATGGACATCATTATAATGGTCATTGTATTTGGATTGAAGGTGGATTAAGGGAGAGTAAAAAGGAGTAAAAGGGGATTATTAAGGACATTTTCAGGGCGATTTGGGGGAGTTTGGGGAAAGGCGATTTTAGGGTGAGGAGGCAGTGAGGGAGGTGGGCGGACAGGGTGAGGGAGGTGAAGGGGCGAAAGAGGGCGACGAAGGGGGAAGGTGGAAAAAGAGGATTTGGGTGAAGGACGCCGACGGAGGAGGTGATGGAAGGGGGTGAAGGCAGGGAGCGAAGCGACCAGTGAAGGAGGGAGGTGGTTGGGTGGTTGAGTGGGTGGTTGAGTGATACACAGATCACACGTGAAGGCACGGTTATGGTGAGTAGTACTTGACGTTGGCGAGTGCCTTGACGCGAGCGGCGGCGAGCAGCGACTGCGCGGCGATGCGGTGGCTTGCGGGTGATCTCAGGTGGGAGCGTATCCTCAGGACGTCGAGGCGGACGACGGTGATGTGCAGCAGGTACAGGAGCGACAGCGACCAGAGGGCTAACAATGTCCAGATGAAGGGTTCGCGGATCTTGAATAAGAATTCTGGAATGTGCTTGTAAACAATCATATACAGGGCTTTGCCTTCTTTCACGATATTTTCTATCGCTCTGCAAAAATCTGCGCACGTTCTTTTGGTTGTCATAGTGTTCAGAGCTGCTGCATCTCCAAATACAAATCCGTTGCTGTATAATATCGGCAGCGTTGTCTTGCAGCTCACAATAGAACTGCATGAAGCTTCGTGAATTATACCGTTTGCTTTGCCATTTGACTGCCTCTTTGCGCAGCCATTTGCACAGCTCTTTGCATAGCACTTTGTTTCCTTCTTGCCGCACTTGCTGTTGCATGTTTCATACAACTGCTTCAGTAAATCGTAGAATGATTCTGTGAGATACACAACCGTGGACAGATGCTTACCAGCATGCTTTTCGGCAAACATACCGCTGATTTCACGACATAGTGGCTTAATATATGGACCGCAGCTGTCCACTGCTGTAGTCTTTGGATTGCAGAGAACGAGTGAATATAGGTCTCCATTGAGGTGCGGCGTGTTTTTACCGGAGAGGTGATTAGTGCTACCGAACATGGAAGTGACGTTCAACTTCGTATCGGAACGCTTGAAATTGGCATTTTGAACGGCCTTTTCGAATGCTGTTTCCCTATGCTGAAAGCGCCCCTTGTTCCTAGAATCATTCCACCCATTGAGTAGACTGTAGTAGAACCCGAACATGTCTCCGAGCGTTTTAGGTGCGCTTGGAAGGACACATCTCAGTTGACTGAGAAGCACAGTGAGGGAAGATGATTTACCACAGAAATCACGAAGAATGTCTCTTAGATAATTACCAGTTTGTCTATGCGATGCTACGTTGGTGATATCGGCAAAGCCCATCGGTGTTTTGCACGGCACATTGAAATGGTTTTTGACTGGGCAGTTGAGTTTGCCGGAGTTGCCATCTAAGTTGTGTGGCAGGAAGCCCTGTAACCCATCTTCCAGGAAGGATTGTAGAGGGGATTTGAGGCCACAAGTAGGATGCTGGTCACAGCGTTGGTCAGCCTTTTGGTTGACCATTTGGTCACCCAGTTGGTCAGCTGCTTGGTTGGCACGCTGGTTACCACATTGGTTATGTGTCTGGTTGCCAGCATGGTTACCACACTGTAAGCTGTTGCACTTCCAACTGGAACCTCCAACACCGCTGCCGTACCAACAGTCCGACCACCCACTCAACGTAGTATCGTGCGTACACATTTGGTACAGGAAATACAGTTGTTCGTAAATACGTTGGAGAATATCTAATAGCATACATATTAATGTGTTCATGTTAGACGGGTATAGGAGACCTTGTGAATTACAGCTAAATTCACAGGCGTAAATACCGTCGCCATGGCCGTGACCTAAGAAGGAAGTCAGCACATGGTGAGAATACTGGCATACGTTATCAAGGTTGTTTCTTAATTTAGTCGCGGTGATCGGTTGTGGATACGCCTCCAGGGTGTCGGGATCTTCGACCAATGCGGCAGCCTTGACTCCCGAACCGATGCCACCTTCGACTGAAACAGTGATAGTGTCCTTACTGCTTCCTTTCGGTTTTTCAAACAGGCTACTGAGACCGTCAACTGACAGCTCTTGGTAAACGTGATTATGTGGCAGGCCGGTCAGCCATGTGAGCATTTGTTGTATATTACTGGGGGCCCTAGGTGACGACGGACGATCGAGATGGCGGACTTCATAATAAGAGTGGAGGTGGTCGAAGAGCTTCTTGACGAGACTGTGATTTTCCTTTTTAGTCTCATCGTCGTCCTCCTGTTTGACAAGATTATGTTTGCTGAGAAGATTCTTATAAATATATGTACTGTCTCTGTCCTCGTGGCAGTTTAACTCGCCGTCCTGAATGCCTTCCTTGGAGGGGACACGGAAACCGCATTCACGGAGCAAGTGACCAAACGCATTCTCCTCTCCGGCTTTGGTAAGGAGGCAAATATTTTTGTTCCAATGCGTTTTACGTTCCTTCAACAGTACGGTAAAATCGTTATGCAAGGTTGCCAAGAGGGTGAGACACGCCTGGGCGCAGTTTCTTCCCTCGTCGGTCAATTCGGATTTTGGCTCTGAACCCTTTTTAGTGGCCCACAACTGATCGGCAAACTCTACACCGGAGTACGTGCTAACATATGCGTTGCGCAGCTCCTTGGCCAAGGCTGTCATTCCTTTTTTAAGCGCCTCCAACAAAACAGTGGATGTCTCACCAAACTGCTTAGGCACGCACTCAGTAAGCCTCCTGCGGAGGCGTTCAAGGTTATCGCTGAATTTATGGTCGAAGTGCTTGGAGTCCACAAGCTTGTTCAGCAGTCTGCTCAGCGATTCGTGCGGACTCTTGAAGTGTGAGTGGGCATCCTTGTAATCATCTTGGTCTTGCAGCCGTAGCATGAAATGGTTGAAACAGTGATTTACTTTATCAGCAAAATCCTTCAAGGTTTTTGGTTGCTCAGTGGAAACGACACGTTTCGGGAAGAAGTCATTCATTGGGCTAGCAAAATAGTCATGTATTTTCTTCATAAATCCCTTTTGACCTATCGTTAAATCATAATTTATTTCTGCTGGCAAAGGATCCAATTCGCTCTGCACCTTGTCGGCGAATTTCGTTAACAAGTCTTTTATTGATTCAACATACTGTTTGCGGGCGTGGGTGGTGAGATCGGTCCTGGCGGCTTGGATGAGTTTGTCGACTTCTTGCTTGAGCTGTCCGACGAAGTGTTTTTCGGCGGCTGCGGCACCGTTTTTGACAAATTCCTGCGCTGATTTGAGGGGCTTGCTTAACAACTCACTGTGCAGATCACTGAGTTCACTGAGGATCTTCTTAATGCTTTCATTGGCATTCTTAGCTTCTTTTGTGTATGTCATGAAAAGCTCATCTTTTAATTTCTTGAGGTTCTGTTTGCTATAATCGCCGGCCTGTCTGATAGCACTGCAGAGTTCATTAAGGTTGTGGGTCACTATGTTGGCCTGGCTTTCGATTCCTGATTTTGCCTCTTGAGCTTTCTCTTTCAGCGTGACGTCTAACTGCTCAATAGTTTTTAGCTTGTTATTGACAATTTTACTCACTTCTGTATGGAGCTTGGAAATACCTTTCTTAACAGCTTCCTTGAGAAGGTCGCGGAGAAAGTTACTGTCGACTTCTGCGCTGCTAGTCTGCTTGCCTAGTTCGGTTTTGAGGGTGTTGAGAACATCTTCTCGGAGTAATTCAGGATTGGAGAGTTTTCTTGATGCATTACCCCAACTGATATCGGCGTGCTTGAGATATATTAGGGATTTTTCTAAATGATATCCAAGACCGTCGGGGTCATCGTCTCCAATGGCACCCTCAATGCGCCCTGCCAATTTTCTCAGATTCCAGAACTCAGCAGCTTTCAAAGCGTTGAGACCAGGATGTTGTTTACTATATACTCCATTTGTATTCCACGCCGCATTCAACCCCTTCTTTAAACCCTCCCATATCTTATCAACATACCCTGTAACCGCATCTTCCAAGCTCCCCTTATACGTATTGATCTAATCATTTACATCCCATTCACCTTTCGATTTCTTAAATTCGTCGAATTTTTGGGGTAGCTTAACATTATTTTGAACATCATTAAGCTTCTTCACCACGCATTCGTTGTCTGTGCAATCCCCACTCTCTCCCTTAATAGTTTTAAAAACCTCATTATACTTCTGCTTCAAATTTTCAAACTCCCCGTGCAGCAGCATAGCCTCCACTCCAATCTGGTTGGCTGTCGATGTGATCTGCTGGGAGTATGTGCTGCCGGTTCCATTTACATGACCCAAAACTATGTCGACCTGTTTTTCGGCGTCACTCATAACTTTCTCCGCCTTTTCGATCCATTGTTGCAGACCGTTAACGTAGTCCCGGAACCTCCTACCGATGTTCTCCAGCTGACGCTGAATCTCCGTCACCTTCCCCTTCAAATGCTCCACAAGTTCATGCACTTTTGCATCAATTTTCAAATTCACATCTTCTCCAAGCTTTTTCATCACTTCACTGATTTTATCCGTCGTCTCCTTCAACTCATTTTCTTCCCTCTCAGACAATTCCTCAAGGCGCTTACTCTCATGCTGCACTGCTTTCACGGCGTTCATCACGCTGTCCTGCAATTGGGGATTTAAGTCTTCAATTGACTCTTTTATCTTGTCTTTATTGATTTTGATATTTAGAGCTTCATTGAACTCTTTTGCATTATTTTTGCAGTCCTCTAATTTTTTCTTAATGTTCTCTTCTCCCAGCCGTACTTCCTTGGAGCTATACGGCTCCACTGGTTTTGGAGAAATCGTTTCCTCAGCTTTTTTCTCTGGCAATATTACACTTACTTGCTCTTTAAGTTCATTCATCTTCCTTTGAAAGCTGTGAATTTGTTCACTCACCTTTTTGTTCGACTCCTTCACACCCTCATTATACTTCTCCACTCCCTGGAGCACTGCGCCAATCGCATTGTTAAAGCCATTTTTACCAAGATGTTCATTGGCTTCAAGAAGCCTTAAAGCATCATCAATTATATTTTTATGTAAGCCTAATTTAGGCTGAATGTTATATAAAACACCATGAAGGAAAGACATCACCCCGTCGCAGAGCCTGTCAAGGTCCGAGTACACGATGCCGGAGCCGGTGTAATTACCATTCTCGTAGCCGAGAAATTTTTCGAGGCCTGTGCAGAGGTTATCAAGTAAATCACGTGGATTATTATCTTTATTAGTGCTAATTTCATCACGTTTCTCTTTAAGCTCCTCAAGCTTTTTATGCTGAGGACAGTCAGCAGAGGGATGAGACTTTTGACAGGTTTCACAGTTTTTTTGCTGCTTATTAAGTCTGTCAATTTCTTTCTTAATTAACTCTATAATGCTATCTTCACTGCCACTAAACTGTGTAAGCTTCACAATAACATCAATGCCATCATGCACTTCCGCCTCAAGGGAGGACATACGCTGCTGGTCCATGAAATGGGACTTAGCACAGTCATCTTTGTTGGACTTTAAGTCATTAATTTGTGATTCTAAAGAGGATATTAGTGATTTATTAGAGTTGTTTTTAGCTTCATTAAGTTGTTCATTTTTTAACTTAATCTCCTTATCAAGCTGACTACAGTAGGAGTCAGTAGCGTAGGGATTTGGAGAGCAAGAGAGCTTGTCAGATTTGTGAGAGAGGGAAGTTGTGGCACTAGTAATAGCGTTATTAATCAACATTTTCAAAGCTTCGGCCAAGTTGGTAAGACCATTGCCATTCCCATGCTTAACCTGGATCAACCAGTCGATGGAGGCCGACGAAGGAGGCTGAGAAGGGAGGTCAAAAGAGGTGAGAGAAGAAAGTGGAAAAAAGTTAAAAAGCGATTAGAGGAGGTGAAATGGGACACTTTTGGAGAATTTTAGAATTTTTTGAGAAAGACGATTTTAGGTGGAGGAGGCAGCGAGGGAGGTGGGTGGACAGGGTGAGGGGAGTGAAGGGGCGAAAGAGGGCGATGAAGGGGGAAGATGGGTTGAGGTAAGGTGGTTTCGGAGGTGGAGGGAAAAGGCGGAAAATGAGGATTTGGGCGAAGGACGCCGACGGAGGAGGTGATGGAGGGGGGTGAAGGAGGAGGGAGCGAAGCGACCAGTGAAGGAGGGAGGTGAGTGAGTGGTTGAGTGAGTGAGTGGGTGAGTGGATGAGTGGTTGGGTGAGTGGGTGGTTGAGTGGTTGAGTGGTTGAGTGGGTGGTTGAGTGGTTGAGTGGTTGAGTGAGTGGGTGGTTAGGTGAGTGGGTGAGTGGTGGAGTGAGTGGTTGAGTGGGTGGTTGAGTGGTTGAGTGGTTGAGTGGTTGGGTGAGTGGTTGGGTGAGTGATTAGGTGAGTGGGTGAGTGGTTGAGTATGTGAGTGAGTGAGTGGTTGAGTGGGTGGTTGAGTTGGTGGGTGGGTGGTTGAGTGAGTGGTTGAGTGGGTGTGTGGGTGAGTGAGTTGGTGAGTGAGTGGGTGGTTGAGTGGTTGAGTGGGTGGGTGAGTAGGTGAGTGAGTGAGTGGTTGGGTGAGTGGGTGAGTGGGTGGTTGAGTGGGTGGTTGAGTGAGTGGGTGAGTGGGTGGGTGAGTGGGTGGTTGAGTTAGTGGGTGGTTGAGTGGGTGGGTGAGTGGGTGATACACAGATCACACGTGAAGGCACGATCACGGTGAGAAGTACTTGACGTTGGCGAGTGCCCTGACGCGTGCGGCGGCGAGGAGGGACTGGGCGGCGATGCGGTGGCTTGAGGGTGATTTTAAGTGGGAGCGTATCCTCAGGACGTCGAGGCGGACGACGGCGATGTGCAGCAGGTAGAGGAGCGACAGCGACCAGAGGGCTAGCAATAATAACATGAAAGGCCATCTGATTTCTTTTAGGAAGTTGTCGCACTCCTTGAACAAATCCTTGAAATACTGTGATTGTAACACCTTATATAACTGACTGCAGAAATCCTTACACTTCTTTGGCGTCTTACCATTCAACGTCGACGCCTCGCCGAAGCTGAATCCGTACTGGTAGAATGTGGATGATACTCCTTTGCAGGACACTATTGATTCACACTGACATGTGTCATCATCTTGCTTATCATCCTCAACAACACCATGCTTGCCTCGCTTGCACTTGTCTCCTCTGAGACATCCACGGCATCCCCAATCTGCACAAGTGATTTGGCAAAAGGCATTATATAAATTGTTGAGTAAATCCCAGAATGTCCATGGGAGGTAAATGGCCCATGATAAGTACGTGCTAGAATTCTTAAATGGCAGACACGTGTAGTAACCTCCGCAGAGCGATGACAGATACGGAGCGCAGTGGTTTCCATTTTTGTTACATGTGTTAAAAGCTGTAAGATTCAACAGATGGGGATTGTCGCAAATAGTATGACTAACAGATTCAGAACCGTAGGCATCACGAAGCGCATCAGTGAGTTCGGCAGGCGTTTCATACAGATTAATGGACAGCTCTTTGACCGATTTTTCAAAGGCTTCTTGTACATCACGTTTATTGAAAGCTGTGTTATTATGCCACCCGCGCACAAGAGCGGACGCAAATTCGAAGTGCTCTGGCAACGTCCGTGGCGTTTTGACTGAAAGGGCAAACAAGGTGGAAAGATGATCAATTTCAAGCAATTCCCCGATGACGGAGGACAAGTAGGCCCCTGTTTTGGTGGAACCAGAGAAGCCTCTAAAACCCAATGGCGTTATACAAGGCATTCCCGGCTTACCGCCAGGGCAGGTGGTGCATTTCGCTTGGCAGCCGATAGAGGACAAGTTATGTGGAAGGTGTCCGATTAAACTGTCACTTAGATACGACTGAAGGGGCGATTTGGGTAGGCATTTGGTTGGCTCTTTGGTTCCCTGTTTGGTATGCTCGTTGCATTGCGATTTGGTTGACTTGACATCCTTGCCGTACTGGCACCGCAACCAACCATGTTCAGACGCCGGCGTACCGCATTGAGTGAACAGGAATTTCAGCGGAGGGAACAGGCGGCGAAGGATGTCAAGGAGCGTTTCAAAGCACTGCGCTGGATTAGACGGATACTGTAGACCCAACGAATTGCTCGGGAACTCACAGGCATACCCGCACTCAGCGTCACCGGTGCCAACGACAGTGGTCAACACGGCGTATGCTTTACCGCATATTTCATCAATAGCTTCAATCGTCAAGGCATCTGTAATTTTTGTAGGAGAGGCGTCAATGGGCATAACGTGCTTAGTAGAAGGATCATTCTTATCCGGCACTTCAAACAAGGATCTAACGTGTTTAGGCAACTTTTCGTACACAGGATTGTGCGGGAGCCCGGTGAGCCACACTAACTGCTCGTACACTGAGCATGGTGCCCTCTTGGAGAAGGAAGTGGCTATGTGACCGACCTGGAAGAATTCTGTAAGGTGGGCAAAAAGTTCGGGTATTAAACCGCCCTCTTTGACCTCATCGACGGGTATGTCATCGAGACCAGGGGATTGGGGAGTGGAACTGGAAGTAAACAACGCACGTTGGCCTGTGGTTAGATGAGTAAGAATACTGCTACCATTAAAGTTGTTTCTGTGATTCAGTTCGCCGCTGTCTGCATTTCCGCGAAGGCCAACATCGTAACCGTTTTCACGGAAGTAAAGTCTATGTAGGCTATGGTTGGAGGCATCTGGATTATATATTTTATAGTCTTTCCAGTCGTCAAGCTTCATCTTAAGATCATTTAACGCGTCACATACGATGGGAGTGACGGTGAGCAACACCTTGGACAGCCTAGTGCCATCCGGCGTCAGCTCTTTTTCAGTGGATGGTTTGCCGTCCTCCAACGTTTTATTAACTAACAATTTGTCCCAGATTATTTTATCTGGATGCCCATCATACGCATTAACATACACTTTGTCAAGCTGCGTGCAAAAGTCATTAAGCCCGCACTTAAGGGCGTCAAGTAGTTCGGGATGGTGCGGGTTGGTAAATTTGTGGGAGGTGAATGTTTGAAGTTGTGTCTTAAGTGCGGCTAGTTTATCGGTGAAATCGTGGTCGAAAAGGTATGTTTTTTCGCCAGTCTTAGTCTGTGTTTTCCTAAAGTGGTCAAGCAGGGTGTTGAAATTAGAGTGTACATCTACGAGTTTAGTAAGGTTGTCGTCCGCCGTCTCAGGCAGAGACTTTTCTTTAAGTTGCTTTTTGATTTCGTCACTAATGTACTTGTGAATTGGAGTGAAGTATTTGTGGAATGCATTTACTAAATTTATGAAAGTGTCCTTCATGGATGCAGCTTTCCCAGCTTGCTGACTTGGGTCGTAGGCTCCGACAGCCTCTTGGATTTTACCAAGCAAAGTGTCTGTTTTCTGTGCCGGAGGTTCTTGCCCACTTGGAGTCTCCGGCTTCTCCACGCCTCCCATGCGTAGCATAAATCCTTTGTGGCCTACTGTCAAATCCTTCGTGATTTCGCGGGGGAAGACTTCTCAGTTCCTCCGTTACCTTCTCGGCGAACTTAGTTAACAGGCCCTTGACGGATAGAACGTACTGCTTCTTGGCGAGGGTGGTGAGGGTTTCGGTAGCATGTTGGACTTGGGAGTTGACGTTTTGCGTGAGGGTGTTAATACAGTATGTTTCCATTGACCCGGCGTCCTTGTCGATGAAGCGCGTGCACTGCGCGATGGGACCGTCTTGGAGTTTGCTTTGCAGCATGCTAAGATTTTTATAAAGTTTTTGGAGACTGTTAGCCGCGTTCTTCCTCAAGCTTATCTTGTCATTCTTAAAATCAGTGAGTTGCTTGTTCACTTCTTTGCCGGCGTCGGAAAACGCTTTCAATAGCTCTTTGAGGTTATGCTGGATTTCTTCGGAGACTCTTTTGAAGGACGCAAATTGGCCAATATATTGGTCAGCAGCTTGATAATCCTGCTGGGCCTTACTCTTAATCCCGTCGAGCGCCCCCTCAATCTCCGCCTTGATCTTCAAGAGGCCTTTGGGACACTTGGGGTTATCTCCCCACTCTTGATCATTATTACCAAGACCATTGGTTTTCAACTCATTCAACCAGTCCTGGATGCCATTGTCATTATCACTAATGGACGTCCCCTTCTTCTCCTTATCGACGTAGTGGGCGATGGCCTGGAGCTCTTGTTCGATTGTGGAGAGATGTTGTTGGACTTTTTTTTTAGCCTTTTCTACTGTTCCTGCTTTAAGTTCAGATTGTTCTTGACTGAATCCACTCATCCCCTTGAAGGGCTGCAGCGCCTGGGGGGATGTCTACGTCAGTCAGCTTTCTGTACAGGCCTTGTGGACCTGCTGGATTGTTTTTCTTTCCGTCATAAGCTGTCATGATTTCTTCGAAGTTCTTATTAACATCTAGGTCATGATCAGCGTCGTCCTTCATTCCCTTGTTGACTTCCGTCTCAATGGCCTCAACTTTCTCGGCAAGAGGGTCGCTGTTGGCAGCCTGCTTTTTGGTTGCTGTGTTATGCGCCGTTTCGAGACTACTGAAAAGGCTTGTAGCTACTGGAAGGATCTTGCTCACTTCACTGATCTTTGACTCACTGGCAAACCGCTGCAGTTCTAAGGCGAAGTTCTTCGCGGACACAGCGACGGAGTAGAGAATGTGTTTGACAGTAATCTCCAGATAATTCTTGCTAGTAGCCGCGCTCAGATCAGCATGTTGCGAAACCTCATTTGCAACCTGGGTAGACTTGTTGCCCAGATCCTTCTCAACTTGATCTGCAAAAGCGCTGAACCTATCAGCAATATTTTCCACCGTTGCGTCTTTAAGCTGCTTTGTCGCAGCTTCAGGAAACACCGTTTTAATAGCTCCTGGGAGGTTGCTTTTAAGTGCATTTTGTACCTTGATCCGATCCACCATACCACGGTTTCCGGTATCGCCGAGGTAATTACTAATATTCCTGTACACCGGTCCACCGGCCTCTTCCACGATCGTCGTAATCCACTTCTCTAAAATTTCTTTTTCAAACTGACTACCAACTTTCGCGGCATATCCCTTTATACCACTCTCAATCCCATCCAACCCTTCTGTTCCACTCCCCTTAATCTTCTCCACTCTCCCCTTAATATCCTTAAGCATCTCTCCAACATGCTGCTTCATCTTCTGCACAATACTATCTCTGATTCTCCCCAAATCCGTTTTCATGCCGGCTTCCAACTCTGCAACGGCGGCGCCAACTTTTGCAGTCAAACCCATAAATTGAGTATGCGCCTGGCTGTACGCAGTCAAAAGGTCCGTGGCTTTTTTCTGCAATGCGTCAGCTTGCTTTTTAATTTCCGGTTCGCCACTATCCTTGATCTCAGATTTTCCCAGTATTAAATAACACTTCCCCTGCGCCGCTCCCACAACCTTCCCGGCCGCGGCGCTCCAAGTGTCCAGCTCGTTGACTTCTTTCTTTTTCGCTGCGTCAACCAAATGTCCAACTTCATTCTTCGCATACTCAAATCGCCGATGCAACTCCTCACCTTTCTTCTGCAACTCTTTTGCCTTGTCTTCAACATTCATTTGGTTTAGAATGCCGGGGGCATTTTTCTCAATTTTGTGTACATCCTTCATGACTTTCTGGAAGAAAGCATCGGCATCACTGATCCATCGTTTTAACTGCTCAACATAATTTCCCAGCATCTCACTAATGCTTACTAGTTTATCTTTAATCGCGGAAACCTCACTGCATAAAAACTTGACAAGGCTGTTCACCTGCGTGGTAATACTGCGATTCACGCTGTCATTAAGGCCCTGAAGAACGCTCCTAATTTTTGCTTCCGTCTCTCTTAGCTCCTCACTTTCCCTAGTTGAGAGCTCAGTGAGCCTGTCAGTCTCATGCTTCACCGCTTTTGCAGCTACAAGAACACGATCACGCAATTTAGGATTAAGATCATTAACTGCGTTTTTCATGTTTATGTTGCTTTTACTCTCTAGGTCAGAAGCTGTGTTGAACGCCGCGGCATTTCTTTTACACTCTTCCAGCTTGAGATCTATTTGCCTTTCGGCCTCCGTGACGTCCTTGTCCTTGTAATTAATCTTCTGACCTGCATCATTATTTTCACGCAATATGTATTCCACACTCTTCACAAATGAATCATTAACACTATCACGCAAAGTATTAATAACACTTTTCACACTCTCATTCGACTGCCTAACAGCATCATTATACTGCTTCACCTTATTGGCCACCGCGGCTATCGCCGTCCTGTATTTAGTAATACCATTAAGATTTGTGTCTTTAAGTTTGCTAAGTGCGCTACTTAAAGTGCCTTTATGCTGGCCTAATTTAGGCTGAATGTTATCTAAAACACCATGAAGGAAAGACATCACCCCGTCGCAGAGCCTGTCAAGGTCCGAGTACACGATGCCGGAGCCGGTGTAATTACCATTCTCGTAGCCGAGAAATTTTTCGAGGCCTGTGCAGAGGTTATTTAATAATGATGTTGAAGGATTTTGGTCAACAAGATTTTTTTGAATTTTCTCAGCATATCCACAAAGCTCATTCAGTGTCTCAAGAGACCCCAAGGAAGCCTTATGAGACTGAAGATCCTTATTAAGCTTGTCAATTTGAGAGGCATTTTGAGGAGTTTCATTGCGTTTTATACGCTCTTTATCTTCATTTTTAAGACACTTAACATCATTTTCAAGCTCCTGAATTTTTTGAGGAATTGACACATTAAGCTCATTTAAGGGACCATCAAGATCCTTTAAATTGCACTTAGAAAGGATGTTAACAAGATTTTCAGAGACATTTTGTTCCTCTTTAAGCTGATTTTTAAGTTTATCATTGACATCATTAAGCTTATTTTTTACATCATTATACTTACAACACCCCTCACCTCCGCAAGATGCATTTAAAAGCTTTTCAAGCTGATTGACATTGCTGTACAAACCCTTCAACAATGCATCTTTAACTTCTTTCCCACTACCAATAAACCCCGACAGCTGTCCAGCAAGGTTACCAAGAGAGATACGGCGGGCATCAATATCATCCAAGGCTTTTCCCCTGGCATCCTCAGTAAGGTAATGGACATCATTGTAATGGTTATTGTAGTTGGATTAAAGGTGGATTAAGGGAGAGTTAAAAGAGGTAAAGGGGGATGAAATGACACATTTTTAGGGCGATTTGGGGGAATTTCGGAAAAGGCGATCTTAGGTGAAGGAGGCAGCGAGGGAGGCGGGTGGACAAGGTGAGGGAGGTGAAGGGGCGAGAGAGGGCGATGAGGGAGGAAGATGGGATGAGGTAAGGCGATTTTAGGGGTGGAGGGGGAAAGAGGAAAATGAGGATTTGGGGAAGCACGCCGACGGAGGAGGTGATGTAGGGGTGAAGGCAGGGAGCGAAGCGACCAGTGAAAGAAGGTGGGTCGGTGAGTGAGTAGGTGGGTGAGTGGGTGGGTGGGTGAGTGGGTGGTTGAGTGGGTGAGTGGTTGAGTGAGTGAGTATGTGAGTGGGTGAGTGAGTGGTGAGGATTTGGGTGAGGGACGCCGACGGAGGAGGTGATGAAGGGGGTGAATGCAGGGAGCGAAGCGACCAGTGAAAGAGGTGAGTGGGTGAGTGAGTGTGTGGGTGAGTGGGTGGTTGAGTGAGTGGGTGAGTAGGTGGGTGGGTGATTAGGTGAGTGAGTGAGAGAGTGGGTGGGTGGGTGAGTGAGTGATTAGGTGGTTGAGTGGTTGAGTGAGTGATTAGGTGGTTGAGTGGTTGAGTGAGTGGGTGAGTGTGTGAGTGTGTGAGTGAGTGGGTGAGTGGGTGATACACAGATCACACGTGAAGGCACGATTATGGTGAGAAGTACTTGACGTTGGCGAGTGCCTTGACGCGTGCGGCGGCGAGGAGCGACTGCGCGGCGATGCGGTGGCTTGCGGGTGATCTCAGGTGGGAGCGAATCCTCAGGACGTCGAGGCGGACGACGGCGATGTGCAGCAGGTACAGGAGCGACAGCGACCAGAGGGCTAACAATGTATTCATGAATGGCCATCTGATTTCCTTTAGGAAATTGTCGCACTCCTTGAACAGATCCTCAAAATATTGTGACTGCAGCACATTCCTCAACTGACTACAGAAATCCTTACACTTCTTCAATGTGCTACCATCATTCAACGTCGACGCCTCGCCGAAGGTGAATCCATACTGGTAGAGCGTCGGTGCCACGCCTCTGCAGGCTACTATGGATGTGCACTGACACACGGCGTCTGCATTCTTCTCATCCTCAACGACACCATGCTTGCCACTCCTACACTTGTCCCCTCTGAGACATCCACGGCATCCCCAATCTGCACAAGTGATAGAGCAGAAGGAATTGTACAAATTGTTGAGTAGATCCCAAAATGTCCATGGGAGGTAGATGGCCCAGGAGAGGTATGTGTTAGAATGCTTGTTACCTAAGTAATAATACGTGTCGCAGCATAGCGGTGAGAGGTACGGAGCGCACAATGCGTTTCCGACACTATCATTACACGCTGGTGTCATCGCTAGACTATACACGTCAGCATATGAAGTAAGGTGGTCCTTCCCTCCATGGTTGCTATGTCTATTACGATACGCATTAGTAAGTGCACCGGTCAAGGTAGATGATTCGTTATAAAGGTCAATAGACGTTCCTTTAATTGATGTGTCGAATTCATCTTTCAATGATTTGATGCCATTACTCTGCTTAGGTTTGGAGGCATTTATACCAGTAAGTAGAGACAGCACGAAGCCAAAGTGCTCAGCTATCGTTGCTGGTGGTTTGGGTGAAAGGGACAGCAGGCATGAAATATGGGACTCGTCGAACATTTTGCTCAGCACATTGCCCAGCTCTTTGCCCAGGCGCGTACTTCCAGAGAAACCTCTGAATCCGAGTGGTGTTAAACAAGGCATGCCGGGTGTAGTGAAAGGACATGTTTTACATTCAGACTTGCATCCGACTGATTCTAGCCTATGAGGCAAATGGCCGGGTAGGCAGTCATTTAAGTAACTCATTAATGGTGATCTAGGTTGGCACGTTGCTTGGTCATTTGCTTCGGTGTTTGCTTGGCAATTTGGTTTGGTCGTTGAGTGATCATTACATGGGAATTTGGTTGTGGATATATCCTTGCCATACTGGCACTCAGCCCAGCCGTGATGCATAGCATTCACGCTACAAAGCTTACACAGAAATGTGAGCGATGAGAACAATCTACGAATCATATCGCAGAGCAGATCAAAACATGCGGCAGGATTCGATGGATACTGCAATTGAAGCGCATTACTGGGGAAGTCACATCCATACGTGGTTTGGGAGTCTCCGTGGCCGAGGATGGCAGTGAGAACGGATTGGCAGTGGGATGTGACCAAGTAAAGAGTCGACGTAACATCATGATCGGTAAACAACGTTGGATGTGCGTAAATTGGCTGGACAGTTCGACGTGACGGGTCTGTCTTATCTGGAGCTTCAAATAACTTTGTAATGTAACCTTTGAGTTTGTCATATATCGGATTATGTGGAAGCCCTGTGAACCAGCACAGCATTTGGTGTATATTACATGGCGGCTTGGGTGACTCTTTAATATGCAGATGGCATACACCGTAATATTGCTTTAGGTGTTTGAAAAGGCATTTAATCACGTCAATAACATTAATGTGTTTGTCTTTTCCGTTCGGTTTACATTTCATAAAATGCCCATTGTTTTGGACGTTAGTAATCGTTTCACTCAGCTTACCAATAATAAGCCTACCCACCTTTTTGGTGGAACGATGCAACTCACCGTCCTGTGCTCCTTGGCCGGATGGTACCGTATAGCCGTATGACTGGAAGAGTTGCCCAAGGGGATTCTCCTTTTTGACGGTATTGTAGATTGTGCGGCCAGCACATTTACCGTTACATTCATTACTGAGGTTTCTCATGTCACGCTGTAAGATTGTCAGCAAAGTGAGACAGACCTTGGATAATTTTTCACCGTCCGGCGTCAACTCATCCTTTAGCTCATTTTCATTACTGGAATCAGAGCTTTGTTTGACCAAGTTACTGAAGTCAATTGCATCAGGATGCCCACTATATCTGTTTACGTACGCTTTGTCCAGTTGACCGCATAACCCAGTTAAACCAGCATGAAGGGCGTCAAGCAACGCGGGGTTATGAATGCCATTGTACCGTGAAGGGCTGAAAGTGCTGAGTTGCTGCCTAAGCGAATCGCGTAATTTTGCAAAATCATGATCGAAGTTATACATACGATCATCTGTTTTGTTTAGGTGGGAGAGTAATTTATCAACGCAATGTTTTACGTCATAGACTTTAATAGAAATGTCATTTTCAGCGGGTTGAAGCGGCGGACTGTACGGCGTTTTCACTTCTTCTTCCACGTACTTCAGAATTGTTTGCAAATAATGACGCATATTGGACGACAGCGTTGTGAACTTGTTATTTATCAGAGGTGTGAAAGTCTCAATTTTTGTAAGTGCGTTGTTATCGTTCCCTTCATTGGCATGATCCATCATGATTCTCAGTAGACCTTTAGTTCCGGTGGCAATGTCCATGGTAATACCCTCATTAATAATGTTGATTTCTGTCGCGACAGATTTTTGCATTGCTTCGAACATAGGTTGAATTTTCGTGTAGTACTCGTCTTTTGCCTTATTTTGGACGGTAAGCGTTGCGTATGTGACCTGCTGAGAGAGGGTGCTTAGAATGGCATTCGTGGCACTATAAGCTTCTGATTCGATTTTGCCGTAGAATTTAGTGGCAGCGGCAATTATTTGTTCCAGTGTTTGGGGCACTGTGTCACCAATCTCCTTGACTTGAGTACCAATGATACCGGTAAGACGTTTTTGGATGTTTTGGAGACCCTTGGTAGTAACTTGCCACGTTGCTTCACTCTGACCGTTAATACCCGTCTCTAGTAGATCGCCTAGTGTGTTGATGACGTCTGCCCCGGGTGATGACTTCTGCAAAACATCGGTGAGATCGCCTAGCTTGCTCTTAATTGCTTCTAAGGCTTGGCCTATAGCATTAGTTTGGGAAGGAATCTCATTATCAATGTCTTTAAGTCTCTTAAAGATTTTGCCAAGGCCGTTGGAATATACATCCCATGTTTTTGCATCACCATTTGCAAGCATTTTCTTAAGCTTGCCCACAAGAATTTTGACACCCTTTTCATCGTCCTTTCCCAAGAATGAGTTGCCATCAACCAATTTAGTAAGCTCCATAAGCTCTTTAGTAATTTCTGCAAGATAACCAGAAACTGCTTCCTTTTCCGAACGGACTTCGCTCGGATCTGTGACTAAACCACCATTTGTAAAAGCCCCTAGCAGCCCCTCACTGAGGAACCTGGGGATCACGGTGTCAAGTTGACTTTTGCTTTCCTTATAATTCGGAAAATGTGACTTAGCCTTGGAAGGCTGTACAACTTCCGAATACACGTTTTCGTACGGCAATTCCTCGTCGATTTTATCGACAATATCTTTCTTAATGGCCACGATGAGATTACGTTCATAGCCCGTTTTGCCTTTGTATGTTTCCTGTAAAGCAGCGAAGGTGTCTTTCATAGCTTCGGCATTAATTTTTCCAGACTCAGAATCAAGATTATTTTTTACGGCCTCATCGAGCAATTTTCTCAAACTGCTGCCGCTCCCTAAAACTGCTTCAATATCTTGACCATCAACTTGAAGTTTACTTTTGCTGTTATCCGTTCTAATTTTACCCAGTGTGTCAACATACACCTTAATTTTCTTGATTATTTCTCTCTTCGCTTTCCCCAAGCCCTCTCTCACTTCCTTATCCAACTTGTTAACGGCAGCCATAGCTTGACTCTGTAATTCAGTGATACTCTTATGAGCGTTCTGGAGGGCATCTAACAGCTTTGTAGCTTTCTCCTTCAATGCTTCACCACTCTTCTTCACTTCCGTCTTACCCTTATTCTTATTGCGTCCATCCTGCACCTTCCCAAGTATCTGACAACACTTATTTTCCGCCTCATCCACAGCTTTGGCAGCATCCTCTTTCCATTTCTCTAGATTTACAACTTCGCTGCCAAGGTCTTCTTTTTTATTGTAAATTAGATTTTTAGCCTTCTCGATTTCTCCAATCTTAGGATGAATAGTCACACTGGTATCATTCTTCCCATCAATTTCCTTATAAATTTCATCGGCCCTGTCCTTTACCGCTGTTACAATTTCTGCAGCCTTTTGGATCCATTGCTTCAGGTCGTTGTCAACTTGAGTTAAATTCTCCTTTACCTTGGTAATCGGACCCTGAATTTTCTTCTTAAATTCATCTTCCAATGTGGTCTGCAGCTTTCTAATGCGCCCACCAATCTCCGTGCTAACTGTGTTTTGCAGTATCTCCAACTCCACCCTAGCCGTATCGACTACGACTTTCAATTCTGTGTTACTAGCAGCACTCACAAACCTCTCAACATGCATTTCTACTGTGCGTACATTATAATTAAGCTTCTTTCGAAGCTTAGGGTCTAATCTATTATACGCCTTAAAGGCGTCGCTAAAGGCCTTCTGAAGCCTATCAGCCTCAGTGAAGCATGCCTCCAATTTGGTGGCAACGTCACGAGACTCACAATTTACAAGTGCGCTAAATGAACTATCAAAATTAGTAATTCTAGTTGTGTTAAGTGTTTTAAAAGTCTCTCTAACTTCTCCAGTCCTCCTCTCGAGCTCCCCGCTCCACGCCCGCAGCGCCGCGGAGACTTCTGCGATGGCTGTCTGAAAATTATGAGAACCATTATGCATCAACTCACCGATTTTAGAAGGAAGATTCTTGATTTTATCTTGAACATCATAAGTTGTAACACTCTCATCACCTTTCACAGTCTCAAGAACACCATGAAGGAAACACATCACCCCGTCGCAGAGCCTGTCAAGGCCTGAG